TCCATTTTACTGGGTTGCCCACACTGGGCTGCTTCCAACATGTATAAAAACATAACAAACTGTTAAACATTAAAAACACTTCCCTATTCAGGGCTGCCTTCAGATGTCTTCTAAAGGTTGTATAGTTACATATCTCCTTGCCTTGGGGGGTGGTGGTCCACACCCTCTAACATTTCTCTGATTAAAATGGGACACCCTAACATTCTGGGTTCAAATCAGAAACTGGGATGGCTTCTATAAATCGGGGACCGTCCCTGGAAAATAGGGACACTTGAATGGTCTGTCAGGTGTGTAAATATGTGTAAATAAACCATAGATCATAAAGGCACCACAGTCTCCAGTGTTGGACTACAATTCCCATCAGCCCCAGCAAGCATGGTCAACACTCAGAGGGGATGATGGGAATTGTAGTCCAACAGCATCCAGAGTGCATTATGTTGACTACCCCTCTTCAAAATGCCTAGGTCAGCCTTTCTCAACCTGTGGGTCCCCAGATGTTGTTGAACTACAACTCCCATCACCCCTAGGTAGCAAGGCCAGAGCTCAGGGATGATGGGAGTTGTAGTCCAAGAACATCTGGGGACCCGCAGGTTGAGAACCGCTGGCCTAGGTGCTATCCAATCACTTTGTGAGAAAAAAGCCTGCTTCCGTCTTTCAGTGTTTTCATCCAATGAGTAACATCATGGCTGCAGTTGACAGTTTGGGGGAGCAGTGCTGCTTGTTGTAGAGATAAAGGGGGCAAAGTGACACACCTGTCTGGAAGTAGCAGCTACAAAAAGAGTTTTTGCTCCTTCCAGCTCAGATTTAATTTCATGTAAAAACCTGAAATATCTGGTGCCTTTGAAATGGAGTGTGCTGAGGATGGGCTTCCAGCTGGTGGAGCTTCTCTCCTTGAGGCTGCCTGAGCCACAAATGCTAAGGGCCACCCCCACCAGCCCTGCTCCCCACCTCTGCCTTTGCCCAGGATAAATGGCCCAGGAGCCTACACTCTTGTGTGGTTATGAATGAGAGGTACTCTGCACGTGCTTGCCATCACTCCCTTTATTCATATTGCTTCACTTTTTGCAGGTCTGATTTCCTGGCATTCAAAGCAGCTTGAGCCCTGGACTCTCTTCTCTTTCTGTGGAGAAGAAGAGGGAGGGGCACTGCTTCTATGGTGGGGAGAGACGATGGATGAGATCCATGACCCATATAGAACTGGGATTAGCACAGACCATTCTGTTCTTCTTTGTGATGAATCTGCAAAAGAAGAGATGATATCTGCTTAGGGCCAACTCTATCATATGCCTAGGAAAAGGTCGTTCTCTGCCTTGGGGTTGGCCTAGTTTGGGGCTGGGGTGGTGCTGAAGGCTGATATTGACAGTCACCCTCTAGGACCCAGGAGATCAAGGTTCAAATCAGTGCAGGCAGTTCTCCTGCACAGGGCGCCAAGCTGAAGGGTGCAAAATTGAGTAGCTCCATACTTGAGAAGATCCATTTGGGGGTGCCAAATTCTGAAGCTCCTCATGGTCTCTTCTTAAGAGGTGATGTTTCCAGAATGACTTTAGAAAAGTTTTCACTCCACCCCAATCAAGGGAGATAGTGAGGGGTTGATGCCCAAGATATGGAGGCAGGATGTGGACTTATCAAGAGGCCCATCACCTGTGGCATGTTTTGATAGATAAGGGGGTTGATAAGAGCCCTTTCATGCAACACATCCATTTCTGTGTAAACAGCCTGCATCTCATCAGAGTTGGGGGCGGGGGCTGAGGCTTCCCTAAGGCCACCAGGTCACTTCCAGGATGGAGAGGCGATTCCCTGAAGCCCCCTGATCTGGTATGGAATTGCAAAGGGGCTTTGGCCTCTGCAGCTATTGCTAATAGTTTGTAGTTTGGCTGATGACCCATGAATTGTTTTCCAAGTTTTTCATACTTACATGACAGCTGGCTGGGAGCACTTGCTGCTTGCATAGTCATAGGACGCCAGGAGTCTGAGTGGTATGGGTCTCATAACGTATTTCTTACAGCAGTAGCCTGAGTCTGTGGGAGAGAAGAGCGGAAGGGAGTGAATGAATGACTTCTTCTTCCTGCAGTCTTGATTTGACTCCACAGGGGATTTGGACCTGAGACCTTCTGCATTCAAGGTAGTTGTTCTGTCACTGAGCTTCTTCCCCCAAAGTAAGATTCTAATCCCAAGAATTCTGAAACAAGGACTGTTATTAAATATAGGAAGCTACTTTATACCGAGTCAGACCATTGATCCATCTAAGCCAATATTGTCTACACAGACTGGCAGCAGCAGCTCTTCAGGATTTCATGCAGGGGATGTTACCAGCCTAACCTAGAGATGTGGCTGGGATTGAACACAAGACCTGCATTCAGAGCAGATGCTCTGGCACTGTCCTTTCCCTAAAACTATCCACAGTCATGAGTGCTGAAATCTTAGAGGGCTAATTTCATAGGCACATAAGAAGCTACCTTTCAGCAAGTCAACCCATCTAGCTCACTATGGTCTGCAATGACTGGCAGTGGCTCAGTGTGGTGTCAGATGTGGGGCATTCCCAGCCCTACCTGGAGATGCTGGGGAGTGAACCTGGGACTCTCTCTCTGGCCAACAGAGGTGCCTTGGGGAGGGTTGCAGTGGGGCCCTGCTCTCCTCCCAAACAAACCCTTTATTATGAAAATTATATACAGGTGGTACATAACCCCAGTCAAGCTTGCAAAAATCTATCATGTGCCTGATAATAAATGTTGGAAATGTAAAGAAACTGAAGGTACATTCTTTCACCACTGGTGGACGTGCCCAAGGATTAAGGCTTTCTGGGAGATGATTTATAATGAACTAAAAAAGGTATTTAAATATACCTTCTTGAAGAAACCAGAGGCCTTTCTCCTGGGCATAGTCGGCCAATCGATGTTAAAAAAGGACAGAACTTACTTTATGTATGCTACAACAGCAGCAAGAATACTCATCGCAAAGCATTGGAAGACACAAGATCTACCCACACTGGAGGAATGGCAGATGAAAATGATGGACTACATGGAATTGACGGAAATGACTGGCAGAATCCGTGACCAGGGAGAAGAGTCGGTGGAAGAAGATTGGAAGAAATTTAAAGACTATTTACAGAAATATTGCAAAATTAATGAATGTTAGAATGATGTTGGATTGAAGTTAAGTGGTTTCTAGCTGTACAGGTACAAAAGAATATGGAAAATTTGGTTTTTAATATGTAAAAATTTAAAGTTATAATATATCAAGATTAAAGATTAGGATTAAAAAGGAGGGAAAGGAATTGTTGGATTAACAAATTTAATTGGAATACAAAAGAGGGAGGTATGAGGAGGTCCGGGAAACAAGTAAACGTAAAAGAAGTGAGAAAAAGAGGGAATTGTTTTTAACTGTTTTTTTCTTTTTTTCCTACTTTGTATTTTTCCTTTTCATTGTTAATTTTTTTTACTAATGTGATTTTTTTTCCTTTGAAATTTTAATAAATATTATTAAAAAAAAAGAGCAAACCCTTTAGGAGGGGACCATCCCTCCTTCACTGTGCTCCCCCTAAAGAATATAAGAGGACCCATACTATCCTATTTAATGCTCTTTTAAAGTCCTCCGTTTTGGTGGCCATCATTGCCTCCAGTGGGAAGGAGTTCCATATGAACATCAGAAGTGCCTTGCTGCTTCAGGCTAGTCACCCATCTAGTCCAGCATCCTCTTCTCACAATGGCCAAGCAGATGCTCCCAATGGGAAGCCCACAAACAGGACCTGAGCACACTCCCTTCCCGTAGGTTCCATCAACTTGTCTTCAGAAGTGTTGCTGTCTCCAACCACAGAGGCAGAGCGTTGCCACCATGGCTTGTGGCCATCAATAGCCCTCTCCTCCTTAGTCCAGTTCCTGGGGCAGCATTACAAAAATCTCATTACAAAAAATAAGAAGAGGAAATGCCAATAGGTTTGCCTCCAGTCCCCTTCTTCTCCTGTTTGAGGAGATCCACTAACCAGTCTGGGCAGACGGACTCAATTTGGGGCGAGAACGAGAGCGATCCTGGACCCATTGTTCATTGGGTTCAGCACAGATGCCCCCATCGTTCTTGATGATGAGTTGACAAAAAGGGGAACTGGAGCGGATCTTCCTCCCTTGCCATCCACTTGAATCAAGGCTAAATCCCGGATATTGCTACCCAACCAGCTTAGCCAAGGGAGGCAGCAGAGGCAGCCTTGGGAATCGTGACCACCTTGTTCCCTGTGGGCTGAGGTTGCAAAAATGCCTGTCATCTCCCTCCCCTTGCGAAGCTGATCTCAGACTGCCTGGACGCGCCTCCCCCCCCTCCCCCCTGGAGAGAATAAGGACTCACAAAAGACAGAGGGGAACTCAAACTGCATCTTTATTTTCAGAAGCCAACGGCAGAACTGCAGACTGGCCCATCTGCAGACATACTCCTATAAGCAACACTTAAGAACAACACAAGCAGAAATCAGTGTGCTTAAAGTTGCCTCTCAAGCAGAGAGCAAAGAATTCAGAAACATTTGCTGTGCAGATTCTCAAGACAGATACCCAAGGTGAGATTTAAATCATGCTCTGGGAATTTCCTTAAAAGCCCCGGCAAAAAGAATTTGTCCCCCAGCAGCTCACTGGAAATCAACATTTTGAAAAGCTGCTTGGAAACAGACGCTTGGTTGCTTGAACAGAACCTGCCAAACAGTGTTGATTGACTTAGCTATGAAAGGGGCACCTGCTGACTTCAGGAACTACTTTCTGGTAGACCCTTTCCCACAAGGCAGGCCGGCTGCTCCTAGATCGCTGCCTTGATAACCACAGAGTCCCTTGAATGAAGACTCTCTTCAGCCATGAAGGGGACAGAATATGAGCGGGCAGAGAGAGAGAGAGGGAGGGAGGGGGGGAGAGAGAGAGAGAGAGAGAGGGAGGGGGAGAGAGAGAGAGAGAGAGAGAGAGAGGGAAGAGGTTCAGCAAAGAGGCAAGGAGGTTGCCGTGGCTCCAAGTGCCTTTTCCTAATGTGGGCTATGCGCTGGGGATAGGCACAGTTGTGGGTCTTGAGCTGGGGGAATGCTTAATGCTGTCAATGTATTCCATAAGATCCTTGGCCCACTGGGCATTTGGGTCAGCACAGCCTGTTTTTCCATTCTTGAATACAAACCTGTCAGAGAAAGAAACAGACATTCACCATGTGTCACTGAATGTGCCCTTTTGATTCTCCACTAGCCTGAGGACCCCACTTCTCTTGGGTCTGGAGAAAAAGGCAGGCAGCCCGCTTCCCATGTCAAAAGGCACCAGGATCCACTTTGCCATGGACCCTGTGTCCTCAGCAGGATATAGAGATGGAAAAGAAATTGCTTCTGACCGCAGTCTTAATGTGATCCCATCAAATCCATGCTTCCCAAATGAATAGGACCACTGGGGTGCTGGCTCTGTCTTTGCCCTATTCAATATCTGTTGGCAGGGGGCAGAGGAGGAGGCTGAGCACGGGACTGAGTGTGGCACGGCTTCAGTGGCTGGCTCCTTCTGAGTGCAAGAGAGGAGGAACTTAAATTTAAAGAGGAGGAACTGAGTTTAAGACTGGAAAATAGTCACAGCCTATCTCTTCTCCCGAGTGACAATTTCTCCATTTTTCTGTGATCTACTCTCATGATTTTCTCAATCTGTCCCCCAAGTGCTTAAGCCTCACTTCACCTTCTACCCTTTGAAACATGTTATCCAGCTGGCCTCTTGGCTTTTGCCCTGATGTGGAAACTTACACTACAGAAGACAGACGACATTTGCCGCTGGTGTAGAAATAATCCTTCACGATGCTCCTTGGGAATTTTATCTTGGAATAATCTTTACAGCAGGGAGACAAGGGATCCAGCCCAACTGTAAGAAGTGGTATAAGTAAGTACTGTTGTTAATTGACTCAATTTATTAGCAATGGTTGTTTTAAATTTTTCACATCAAACATCCAAACATACAGATCCTTGTCTCTGTGTGGAGGCCCTTGCATTTAGAAGCAAGCATGGAGGAACTCTGAATGTGGTCCCCAGGGCTTTTGATCTAGCCCTCAAGATTCCCCCCAGGGCAGCCAAGATCCCCCCACTTCACCAAGACCAGTCTGTGCCCCCTCCCTGCTGCTCAAGTGGCAGAACCTGTCTGGAACTTGCACCTTCATTGCTGGGTAGAGAGAACCTGTGTGTGCGTATGTGTATGTACATGCAAGTGTGTTTAGAAACCACTGAATTTTGGATGACTAGGATGTAGTCAAGTCCTGATTGTGCCTCCACACCTCTTGCCCCAAAATTAAACAAACACACAATGCTTAAAAAATACAATGAACACCAGAAGTGCCTTGCTGCTTCAGGCTAGTCACCCATCTAGTCCAGCATCCTCTTCTCACAATGGCCAAGCAGATGCTCCCAATGGGAAGCCCACAAACAGGACCTGAGCACACTCCCTTCCCGTAGGTTCCATCAACTTGTCTTCAGAAGTGTTGCTGTCTCCAACCACAGAGGCAGAGCGTTGCCACCATGGCTTGTGGCCATCAATAGCCCTCTCCTCCTTAGTCCAGTTCCTGGGGCAGCATTACAAAAATCTCATTACAAAAAATAAGAAGAGGAAATGCCAATAGGTTTGCCTCCAGTCCCCTTCTTCTCCTGTTTGAGGAGATCCACTAACCAGTCTGGGCAGACAGACTCAATTTGGTTAACAACACAAAGGATGGTTTTCACACAAGACCTTGAGAACTGTGGCCACCTTTGGCTGAAAAGCTTGTGTGAACAGCGTCTCCAGGACAGAGAGTAGGGGAAGGAAGCATCCATGTGAGTCTGGCACCAGTTCCCCCTTTGGGTAAGGTTTGTTACAATTTTGGTAAAGCTTTTTCCATTTTGCTTATAAAACAGAGAGAACAATTAGAGCAACAGGTGAAAAATAACAGCTGAAAAGCAAAACGATGAAAAGGCACATAGAATGAGTACAGTTGCAAGTGGGTTAAAATAAAGAAGACCAAGTAAAGCATATCAGCATTATCAGATTATTGACCTCTTTGAGTAAGATAGAGGAGAGGGAGACAAGGAAGACTTACGAGGATATGTTTTCTCACCTAGTGCGTACTTGGATTCTACACCTGAAAGGGAGAAAGGAATGGAGTGCCATTATAGGTTTGCATCCTTGTGAACTGTCTGCCTCCCACAGCCATGGATATGGGAATCTTGACCCATGAAACCCTTGTTGCTAGCCTATGGTTTGGGGAAGGCATACTTTGGGGTGGATTTTTCACTGAGCAAGACAAAGGTCTGGTTTCCACGTGAGGCTCATCCGTGGCACCGTTTCATGGGTAAGCTAAGTGCCTCTTCATGGGCCACCCCTGCAGCTGCCACTCTACACCTAGGAATCTCTGTGATCTTGCCTCTGGTCCCCTCCAGGAGGCTGCAGCAGCAGTGGCACAGGGCAGAGAGGTTGCCAAAGATGTGGCAAATCTGCTCTAAAGAGCAAGCCGCAGCTTTTGCTGCCACTGCGGTGTTGGCAGCAGCAGAGCCAGAGGACAACGCATTCCTTGGAGGCCGGATCTGCTGCCCCAGTCGATCCTGCCACCCAAGGTGGTTGCCTCACCCTGCTTCATGGGTCAGCTGGCCTTATTGCTGTCTTAAAAATAAATTGAAAGCCGCTATATATCCCAAGGGGACGCGGGTGGTGCTGTGGGTAAATCCTCAGCGCCTAGGGCTTGCCGATCGCATGGTCGGCGGTTCGAATCCCCGCGGCGGGGTGAGCTCCCGTCTACGGTCCCAGCTCCTGCCCACCTAGCAGTTCGAAAGCACCCCTAAAGTGCAAGTAGATAAATAGGTACCGCTTTCTAGCGGGAAGGTAAACGGCGTTTCCGTGTGCTGCGCTGGTGCAGGCTCGCCAGAGCAGCTTCGTCACACTGGCCACGTGACCCGGAAGTGTCTCCAGACAGCGCTGGCCCCCGGCCTCTAGAGTGAGATGGGCGCACAACCCTAGAGTCTGTCAAGACTGGCCCGTACGGGCAGGGGTACCTTTACCTTTTTATATATCCCAAATAAAAAAATACATTGGAGAAAAGAAGGATAATAAACTCACGTGGGCAAGCAGTGGCCAGGGCAAAGGTGGCTGCAAAGAGGAGGAAGACGAGGGCAGCCGGAGAGAGATTCATGACAGGCAGAGATGAAGAGAGGATTGGGGCCCTTCCAGTCTCTTTCCTTGACTGCTTTGACACTCAGTACACCCTAGTCTCTTCTTTATAGACGGTGTTTCTAGATTGACTTCTGAAAAGTTTCCACTCTACCCCAATCAAGGGAGATAGTGAGGGGTTGATGCCCAAGATACGGAGGCAGGATGTGGACGTATCAAGAGGCCCATCACCTGTGGCATATTTTGATTGATAAGGGGGTTGATAAGAGCCCTTTCGTGCAACACGTCCATTTCTGTGTAAACAGCCTGTGTGCTTCCATGGGCTTAGGGGAGGCTCGAGGCCTTGTGAGCACAAATGTAAAGCAGCTGGAACAAGGTCCCGGGAGGGATCAGGCCATTTTAGGGGGAAGGATGGGTAGCAACTGGGCTGTGGGTGCAATGGAGGGTGCCATGACTTTTCTTGGATGGGTTCTGATAGCACCCAAGAGCCCTCTGTGCCCAAGGGGAGACTCCCACCTACCTACCCACCCCCAGTGCTGGCAGAGGGACTCCAGGCAAGCTCTTGTCTTCTGGATCCACCCAAGGCTCACCTGGATCTCCATTTTGCCCACCCTGGGAAAGTTGTGTTAAGAAGTCGGTTAAGGAATTTTGCTGGTTGACTAGCTTAGTGTACAGAAGCTGTGCACAGTGTTAAAACCAGGGATGGGGGGCAGTTAAATGACCCCCCTGCAAATCCCAAGTCCCTACCACAGCCTCAAACTAAGGCCAGGACCAGGACCATTTACACAAGCACCATACATACACAACAGCAAAGAGGCTGAGAAAAGCCGCCTATAAACTTGTAGCAATAAGCCGAGACCATGTATGGCACTGTCTCCTCTGACTATCCCATATAGAAAACTGTAGAAACTTCACAAAGAATCACTAAACTTTGACTGATTTCCTTGGTTCCAACAGTAATGACTCCTCTGGACTATGAGAATCTAGAGCTCCCCCTGCCTCCATAATCCCTTGAGCATAAGGCCACGTACTCCTTGCCCCTCCATAAGGTCTGAACTTAGTCTCACAATAGGAGGCAGGGGGCGATCAAAGGCAGCACATAACCCAGACAGAAATTCATTGGGATGGCAGAGGAATCTTGATACTTTCAAAGGAGAAGCTCAGGAAAGCCTTGTAGTTAGGGGGATGGGCAAATACTGGTACTTTTATTGTTCTTTGGAGAAGCGGATAATTAATATTAAAACCCTGGTTATTGACCGGGGTGAGTGATGGGCTCATGTTTCTACATCCAAAACTCTCCTACTTTGTGTCATATCTGTGATGTATCAATGAAGCTGTTGAAAAATGTATTATGGGAAATAGGGAGAAGTCTTAAAAGTTCATGCAACCCCATGCTTGGGGTTCCTACTCTTTACGTGCTTTGACCTTGTTGCAACAAATAAAGATCAGGTCCACTGACCGCTGCTTTGCTTCTTTAACTTGACTTGAGACTCCTTCTTTTGCTGACCGAAGAGACGCCCAGGGAGTGGCACCCCAATGAGCTGGGCAGCAGAGTAAATCCACACCCCAGGATGTTTTCCTTATCAACAGGGATCCATGTTCATTTGAGTTAAGCACAGGGCCCAATCCTGGTCCTCAGGGTAGCCCACTTTCTCCATCCCTCCACTGGGAGGACTCTTCATTCATTCCCACTTTCTGCTTCCTGATTCTTCACCTGTTACTGATCCACAAGAGGACCACTCTTCTTATCCCATGACTCTCTGGGCTTACTCAGAAGCCTTTGTTGGGGGGGGGGGCTATGAAAGGCTTTATGAACGTCTTAATAGACACTGTCTAGTGGCCCCCCCTGCCCACATTCTCCTTGATACTGTCAAGCAGCTCCAAAGGATCGTTTAGAGTGGGCTTGTCTGGAACTGAGGCTGAGAGAGATGCAGAGGCCTGGCTGGCTCTTGGTGGGAATCCAAAGAGATGGTGGAGCAGAGGCGGATTTAGGGGAGTGCAACTGGTTTGGTCACACTGGGTGCAGAGCAGAGGGCACCGTAACTATGATGTAGAATGGAAGGTGAGAGGTGGGGTGGGGTGCTGAATTTTGGGTGTTGCACAGGGCGCTGCTGAAATTTGAGACCCCAAGGTTCACTACTGGGTGCAGGGAGATGGCGGATGCGATCCTGGACCCATTGTTCATTGGGGTCAGCACAGATGCCCCCATCGTTCTTGATGATGAGTTGACAAAAAGGGGAACTGGAGCGGATCTTCCTCCCTTGCCATCCACTTGAATCAAGGCTAAATCCCGGATATTGCTACCCAACCAGCTTAGCCAAGGGAGGCAGCAGAGGCAGCCTTGGGAATCGTGACCACCTTGTTCCCTGTGGGCTGAGGTTGCAAAAATGCCTGTCATCTCCCTCCCCTTCCGAAGCTGATCTCAGACTGCCTGGACGCGCCTCCCCCCCCTCCCCCCTGGAGAGAATAAGGACTCACAAAAGACAGAGGGGAACTCAAACTGCATCTTTATTTTCAGAAGCCAACGGCAGAACTGCAGACTGGCCCATCTGCAGACATACTCCTATAAGCAACACTTAAGAACAACACAAGCAGAAATCAGTGTGCTTAAAGTTGCCTCTCAAGCAGAGAGCAAAGAATTCAGAAACATTTGCTGTGCAGATTCTCAAGACAGATACCCAAGGTGAGATTTAAATCATGCTCTGGGAATTTCCTTAAAAGCCCCGGCAAAAAGAATTTGTCCCCCAGCAGCTCACTGGAAATCAACATTTTGAAAAGCTGCTTGGAAACAGACGCTTGGTTGCTTGAACAGAACCTGCCAAACAGTGTTGATTGACTTAGCTATGAAAGGGGCACCTGCTGACTTCAGGAACTACTTTCTGGTAGACCCTTTCCCACAAGGCAGGCCGGCTGCTCCTAGATCGCTGCCTTGATAACCACAGAGTCCCTTGAATGAAGACTCTCTTCAGCCATGAAGGGGACAGAATATGAGCGGGCAGAGAGAGAGAGAGGGAGGGGGGGAGAGAGAGAGAGAGAGAGGGAGGGGAGAGAGAGAGAGAGAGAGAGAGAGAGAGAGGGAAGAGGTTCAGCAAAGAGGCAAGGAGGTTGCCGTGGCTCCAAGTGCCTTTTCCTAATGTGGGCTATGCGCTGGGGATAGGCACAGTTGTGGGTCTTGAGCTGGGGGAATGCTTAATGCTGTCAATGTATTCCATAAGATCCTTGGCCCACTGGGCATTTGGGTCAGCACAGCCTGTTCTTCCATTCTTGAATACAAACCTGTCAGAGAAAGAAACAGACATTCACCATGTGTCACTGAATGTGCCCTTTTGATTCTCCACTAGCCTGAGGACCCCACTTCTCTTGGGTCTGGAGAAAAAGGCAGGCAGCCCGCTTCCCATGTCAAAAGGCACCAGGATCCACTTTGCCATGGACCCTGTGTCCTCAGCAGGATATAGAGATGGAAAAGAAATTGCTTCTGACCGCAGTCTTAATGTGATCCCATCAAATCCATGCTTCCCAAATGAATAGGCCCACTGGGGTGCTGGCTCTGTCTTTGCCCTATTCAATATCTGTTGGCAGGGGGCAGAGGAGGAGGCTGAGCACGGGACTGAGTGTGGCACGGCTTCAGTGGCTGGCTCCTTCTGAGTGCAAGAGAGGAGGAACTTAAATTTAAAGAGGAGGAACTGAGTTTAAGACTGGAAAATAGTCACAGCCTATCTCTTCTCCCGAGTGACAATTTCTCCATTTTTCTGTGATCTACTCTCATGATTTTCTCAATCTGTCCCCCAAGTGCTTAAGCCTCACTTCACCTTCTACCCTTTGAAACATGTTATCCAGCTGGCCTCTTGGCTTTTGCCCTGATGTGGAAACTTACACTACAGAAGACAGACGACAGTTGCCGCTGGTGTAGAAATAATCCTTCACGATGCTCTTTGGGAATTTTATCTTGGAATAATCTTTACAGCAGGGAGACGAGGGATCCATCCCAACTGTAAGAAGTTGTATAAGTAAGTACTGTTGTTAATTGACTCAATTTATTAGCAATGGTTGTTTTAAATTTTTCACATCAAACATCCAAACATACAGATCCTTGTCTCTGTGTGGAGGCCCTTGCATTTAGAAGCAAGCATGGAGGAACTCTGAATGTGGTCCCCAGGGCTTTTGATCTAGCCCTCAAGATTCCCCCCAGGGCAGCCAAGATCCCCCACTTCACCAAGACCAGTCTGTGCCCCCTCCCTGCTGCTCAAGTGGCAGAACCTGTCTGGAACTTGCACCTTCATTGCTGGGTAGAGAGAACCTGTGTGTGCGTATGTGTATGTACATGCAAGTGTGTTTAGAAACCACTGAATTTTGGATGACTAGGATGTAGTCAAGTCCTGATTGTGCCTCCACACCTCTTGCCCCAAAATTAAACAAACACACAATGCTTAAAAAATACAAAAATACAATGAACATCAGAAGTGCCTTGCTGCTTCAGGCTAGTCACCCATCTAGTCCAGCATCCTCTTCTCACAATGGCCAAGCAGATGCTCCCAATGGGAAGCCCACAAACAGGACCTGAGCACACTCCCTTCCCGTAGGTTCCATCAACTTGTCTTCAGAAGTGTTGCTGTCTCCAACCACAGAGGCAGAGCGTTGCCACCATGGCTTGTGGCCATCAATAGCCCTCTCCTCCTTAGTCCAGTTCCTGGGGCAGCATTACAAAAATCTTATTACAAAAAATAAGAAGAGGAAATGCCAATAGTCCCCTTCTTCTCCTGTTTGAGGAGATCCACTAACCAGTCTGGGCAGATGGACTCAATTTGGTTAACAACACAAAGGATGGTTTTCACACAAGACCTTGAGAACTGTGGCCACCTTTGGCTGAAAAGCTTGTGTGAACAGCGTCTCCAGGACAGAGAGTAGGGGAAGGAAGCATCCATGTGAGTCTGGCACCAGTTCCCCCTTTGGGTAAGGTTTGTTACAATTTTGGTAAAGCTTTTTCCATTTTGCTTATAAAACAGAGAGAACAATTAGAGCAACAGGTGAAAAATAACAGCTGAAAAGCAAAACGATGAAAAGGCACATAGAATGAGTACAGTTGCAAGTGGGTTAAAATAAAGAAGACCAAGTAAAGCATATCAGCATTATCAGATTATTGACCTCTTTGAGTAAGATAGAGGAGAGGGAGACAAGGAAGACTTACGAGGATATGTTTTCTCACCTAGTGCGTACTTGGATTCTACACCTGAAAGGGAGAAAGGAATGGAGTGCCATTATAGGTTTGCATCCTTGTGAACTGTCCGCCTCCCACAGCCATGGATATGGGAATCTTGACCCATGAAACCCTTGTTGCTAGCCTATGGTTTGGGGAAGGCATACTTTGGGGTGGCTTTTTCACTGAGCAAGACAAAGGTCTGGTTTCCACGTGAGGCTCATCCGTGGCACCGTTTCATGGGTAAGCTAAGTGCCTCTTCATGGGCCACCCCTGCAGCTGCCGCTCTACACCTGGGAATCTCTGTGATCTTGCCTCTGGTCCCCTCCAAGAGGCTGCAGCAGCAGTGGCACAGGGCAGAGAGGTTGCCAAAGACGTGGCAAATCTGCTCTAAAGAGCAAGCCGCAGCTTTTGCTGCCACTGCGGTGTTGGCAGCAGCAGAGCCAGAGGACAACGCATTCCTTGGAGGCCGGATCTGCTGCCCCAGTCGATCCTGCCACCCAAGGTGGTTGCCTCACCCTGCTTCATGGGTCAGCTGGCCTTATTGCTGTCTTAAAAATAAATTGAAAGCCGCTATATATCCCAAGGGGACGCGGGTGGTGCTGTGGGTAAATCCTCAGCGCCTAGGGCTTGCCGATCGCATGGTCGGCGGTTCGAATCCCCGCGGCGGGGTGAGCTCCCGTCTACGGTCCCAGCTCCTGCCCACCTAGCAGTTCGAAAGCACCCTAAAGTGCAAGTAGATAAATAGGTACCGCTTTCTAGCGGGAAGGTAAACGGCGTTTCCGTGTGCTGCGCTGGTGCAGGCTCGCCAGAGCAGCTTTGTCACACTGGCCACGTGACCCGGAAGTGTCTCCGGACAGCGCTGGCCCCCGGCCTCTAGAGTGAGATGGGCGCACAACCCTAGAGTCTGTCAAGACTGGCCCGTACGGGCAGGGGTACCTTTACCTTTTTATATATCCCAAATAAAAAAATACATTGGAGAAAAGAAGGATAATAAACTCACGTGGGCAAGCAGTGGCCAGGGCAAAGGTGGCTGCAAAGAGGAGGAAGACGAGGGCAGCCGGAGAGAGATTCATGACAGGCAGAGATGAAGAGAGGATTGGGGCCCTTCCAGTCTCTTTCCTTGACTGCTTTGACACTCAGTACACCCTAGTCTCATCTTTATAGACTGTGTTTCTAGATTGACTTCTGAAAATTTTCCACTCTACCACAATCAAGGGAGATAGTGAGGGGTTGATGCCCAAGATACGGAGGCAGGATGTGGACGTATCAAGAGGCCCATCACCTGTGGCATATTTTGATTGATAAGGGGGTTGATAAGAGCCCTTTCGTGCAACACGTCCATTTCTGTGTAAACAGCCTGTGTGCTTCCATGGGCTTAGGGGAGGCTCGAGGCCTTGTGAGCACAAATGTAAAGCAGCTGGAACAAGGTCCCGGGAGGGATCAGGCCATTTTAGGATGAAGGATGGGTAGCAACTGGGCTGTGGGTGCAATGGAGGGTGCCATGACTTAAGGACTCCTTTTCTTGGATGGTTTCTGATAGCACCCAAGAGCCCTCTGTGCCCAAGGGGAGACTCCCACCTACCTACCCACCCCCAGTGCTGGCAGAGGGACTCCAGGCAAGCTCTTGTCTTCTGGATCCACCCAAGGCTCACCTGGATCTCCATTTTGCCCACCCTGGGAAAGTTGTGTTAAGAAGTCGGTTAAGGAATTTTGCTGGTTGACTAGCTTAGTGTATAGAAGCTGTGCACAGTGTTAAAACCAGGGATGGGGGGCAGTTAAATGACCCCCCTGCAAATCCCAAGTCCCCACCACAGCCTCAAACTAAGGTCAGGACCAGGACCATTTACACAAGCACCATACATACACAACAGCAAAAAGGCTGAGAAAAGCCGCCTATAAACTTGTAGCAATAAGCCGAGACCATGTATGGCACTGTCTCCTCTGACTATCCCATATAGAAAACTGTAGAAACTTCACAAATAATCACTAAACAGTTTGACTGATTTCCTTGGTTCCGACAGTAATGACTCCTCTGGACTATGAGAATCTAGAGCTCCCCCTGCCTCCATAATCCCTTGAGCATAAGGCCACGTACTCCTTGCCCCTCCATAAGGTCTGAACTTAGTCTCACAATAGGAGGCAGGGGGCGATCAAAGGCAGCACATAACCCAGACAGAAATTCATTGGGATGGCAGAGGAATCCTGATACTTTCAAAGGAGAAGCTCAGGAAAGCCTTGTAGCTAGGGGGATGGGCAAATACTGGTACTTTTATTGTTCTTTGGAGAAGCGGATAATTAATATTAAAACCCTGGTTATTGACCGGGGTGAGTGATGGGCTCATGTTTCTACATCCAAAACTCTCCTACTTTGTGTCATATCTGTGATGTATCAATGAAGCTGTTGAAAAATGTATTATGGGAAATAGGGAGAAGTCTTAAAAGTTCATGCAACCCCATGCTTGGGGTTCCTACTCTTTACGTGCTTTGACCTTGTTGCAACAAATAAAGATCAGGTCCACTGACCGCTGCTTTGCTTCTTTAACTTGACTTGAGACTCCTTCTTTTGCTGACCGAAGAGACGCCCAGGGAGTGGCACCCCAATGAGCTGGGCAGCAGAGTAAATCCACACCCCAGGATGTTTTCCTTATCAACAGGGATCCATGTTCATTTGAGTTAAGCACAGGGCCCAATCCTGGTCCTCAGGGTAGCCCACTTTCTCCATCCCTCCCCTGGGAGGACTCTTCATTCATTCCCACTTTCTGCTTCCTGATTCTTCACTTGTTACTGATCCACAAGAGGACCACTCTTCTTATCCCATGACTCTCTGGGCTTACTCAGAAGCCTTTGTGGGGGGGGGGGCTATGAAAGGCTTTATGAACGTCTTAATAGACACTGTCTAGTGGCCCCCCCTTCCCACATTCTTCTTGATACTGTCAAGCAGCTCCAAAGGATCGTTTAGAGTGGGCTTGTCTGGAACTGAGGCTGAGAGAGATGCAGAGGCCTGGCTGGCTCTTGGTGGGAATCCAAAGAGATGGTGGAGCAGAGGCGGATTTAGGGGAGTGCAACTGGTTTGGTCACACTGGGTGCAGAGCAGAGGGCGCCGTAACTATGATGTAGAATGGAAGGTGAGAGGTGGGGTGGGGGGCTGAATTTTGGGTGTTGCAAGGGCGCTGCTGAAATTTGAGACCCCAAGGTTCACTACTGGGTGCAGGGAGATGGCGGATGCGATCCTGGACCCATTGTTCATTGGGTTCAGCACAGATGCCCCCATCGTTCTTGATGATGAGTTGACAAAAAAGGGGAACTGGAGCGGATCTTCCTCCCTTGCCATCCACTTGAATCAAGGCTAAATCCCGGATATTGCTACCCAACCAGCTTAGCCAAGGGAGGCAGCAGAGGCAGCCTTGGGAATCGTGACCACCTTGTTCCCTGTGGGCTGAGGTTGCAAAAATGCCTGTCATCTCCCTCCCCTTCCGAAGCTGATCTCAGACTGCCTGGATGCGCCTCCCCCCCCACCCCCCAGGAGGGAATAAGGACTCACAAAAGACAGAGGGGAACTCAAACTGCATCTTTATTTTCAGAAGCCAACGGCAGAACTGCAGACTGGCCCATCTGCAGACATACTCCTATAAGCAACACTTAAGAACAACACAAGCAGAAATCAGTGTGCTTAAAGTTGCCTCTCAAGCAGAGAGCAAAGAATTCAGAAACATTTGCTGTGCAGATTCTCAAGACAGATACCCAAGGTGAGATTTAAATCATGCTCTGGGAATTTCCTTAAAAGCCCCGGCAAAAAGAATTTGTCCCCCAGCAGCTCACTGGAAATCAACATTTTGAAAAGCTGCTTGGAAACAGACGCTTGGTTGCTTGAACAGAACCTGCCAAACAGTGTTGATTGACTTAGCTATGAAAGGGGCACCTGCTGACTTCAGGAACTACTTTCTGGTAGACCCTTTCCCACAAGGCAGGCCGGCTGCTCCTAGATCGCTGCCTTGATAACCACAGAGTCCCTTGAATGAAGACTCTCTTCAGCCATGAAGGGGACAGAATATGAGCGGGCAGACAGAGAGAGAGGGAGGGAGGGGGAGAGAGGGAGAGAGAGAGAGAGAGAGAGGGAAGAGGTTCAGCAAAGAGGCAAGGAGGTTGCCGTGGCTCCAAGTGCCTTTTCCTAATGTGGGCTATGCACTGGGGATAGGCACAGTTGTGGGTCTTGAGCTGGGGGAATGCTTAATGCTGTCAATGTATTCCATAAGATCCCTGGCCCACTGAGCATTTGGGTCAGCACAGCCTGTTTTTCCATTCTTGAATACAAACCTGTCAGAGAAAGAAACAGGCATTCACCATGTGTCACTGAATGTGCCCTTTTGATTCTCCACTAGCCTGAGGACCCCACTTCTCTTGGGTCTGGAGAAAAAGGCAGGCAGCCCGCTTCCCATGTCAAAAGGCACCAGGATCAACCTTGCCATGGACCCTGTGTCCTCAGCAGGATATAGAGATGGAAAAGAAATTGCTTCTGACCGCAGTCTTAATGTGATCCCATCAAATCCATGCTTCCCAAATGAATAGGCCCACTGGGGTGCTGGCTCTGTCTTTGCCCTATTCAATATCTGTTGGCAGGGGGCAGAGGAGGAGGCTGAGCACGAGACTGAGTGTGGCACGGCTTCAGTGGCTGGCTCCTTCTGAGTGCAAGAGAGGAGGAAGAACTTAAATTTAAAGAGGAGGAACTGAGTTTAAGACTGGAAAATAGTCACAGCCTATCTCTTCTCCCGAGTGACAATTTCTCCATTTTTCTGTGATCTACTCTCATGATTTTCTCAATCTGTCCCCCAAGTGCTTAAGCCTCACTTCACCTTCTACCCTTTGAAACATGTTATCCAGCTGGCCTCTTGGTTTTTGCCCTGATGTGGAAACTTACACTACAGAAGACAGACGACAGTTGCCGCTGGTGTAGAAATAAGCCTTCACGATGCTCTTAGGGAATTTGATCTTGGAATAATCTTCACAGCAGGGAGATGAGGGATCCATCCCAACTGTAAGAAGTGGTATAAGTAAGTACTGTTGTTAATTGACTCAATTTATTAGCAATGGTTGTTTTAAATTTTTCACATCAAACATCCAAACATACAGATCCTTGTCTCTGTGTGGAGGCCCTTGCATTTAGAAGCAAGCATGGAGGAACTCTGAATGTGGTCCCCAGGGCTTTTGATCTAGCCCTCAAGATTCCCCCCAGGGCAGCCAAGATCCCCCCCCCTTCACCAAGACCAGTCTGTGCCCCCTCCCTGCTGCTCAAGTGGCAGAACCTGTCTGGAACTTGCACCTTCATTGCTGGGTAGAGAGAACCTGTGTGTGCGTATGTGTATGTACATGCAAGTGTGTTTAGAAACCACTGAATTTTGGATGACTAGGATGTAGTCAAGTCCTGATTGTGCCTCCACACCTCTTGCCCCAAAATTAAACAAACACACAATGCTTAAAAAATACAAGGAAACCCCCTACCATGTCCCCCCACCAAGGAAAACCAGCTTTTCATTATCTGCAACACCTTTCCCCTCTAAATGAAAACCAATATTTCCAACTGAAAGGAAAAAAATGGTTGAGGAGAGGGAGACAAGGAAGACTTACCAGGAGAATGTTTTTTCCATTTTGTGTATAAAACAGAGACAACAATTAAACAAACACACAACACTTCAAAAATACAAGGGGGAAAAACCCCCACCATGGAATATTTGCTTCCAGCTGCATGCAGTCCCCCCAAACAAAAACCAGCTTTTCGTTATCTGCAACACCTTTCCCCTCTAAATTTAAACCCATGATTCCAATGGATAGATAAAAAAATGATTGTTTCATTTGAGCCAGGGCACATCAGAACATATTTTCAATGGATGGCTCAATCCTGCAACCTCTGATCATGTGCAGAGTACCTCACACCAGGGAGCAATCACAATCAGTCTCTTGCATCTGAGATTAGGGAGAATATCTTCCAGGTTTGGGGGAAAGAGGCAAGATGGTGTGGATTTCAGATTTCTTTTGTAGGCGTGGATTTGCAAGTTGCCTGACAATCTGCTTGAGAGGGCTGTGCCATGCCCCTCATGGGATAACCTCTGCTGCCTTTTGGATTAGGCACAAAAGCACATGACCCTGGCACGTGACCCTGGTACCACTTGGATTGCTTGACTATTGTGGACACCCCGAAAGGAGGACTTACCAAGACCAGCATTGGGAATAGACTTATCATGGATCCCAAACCCCCCCCCACCCCCCCCCCCCCCCCCCCCCCCCCCCCCCCCCCCCCCAAACCCCCCCCCCCCCCCCCCCCCCCCCCCCCCCCCCCCCCCCCCCCCCCCCAAGTATTGGCTTGTCTGCAGAGCCAAAAGGAAGCCCCCTCTGTCTCCATCCACCAGAAGACTGAAGGTTCTCCATGCTGTGTTTTAAATAAATGACTATGTCCTTTCCAAATACTATACTTATCTATGGTCCCCCACCCTAATTTTAAACTGGTTTCATCTGATCTTATCGGGCTTCATTTTATATTGTTAAGTTGCTGTAAGACTTTTTTTTTGTATAAAGCAACTAAGAAATGTAAGAAAACAACAACAACAACAATGGTAAAGGACCCCTGGATGGTTAAGTCCAGTCAAAGGCGACGATGGGGTTGCGGCGCTCATTCCGCTTTCAGGCTGAGGGAGCCTGCATTTGTCCACAGACAGCTTTCCAGGTCATGTGACCAGCATGACTAAACCACTTTTGGTGTAACAGGACACCGTGACGAGTGCCAGAGCACACGGAAACGCCGTTTACCTTCCCGCTGCAGCAGTACCTATTTATCTATAGTGGTACCTTGGGTTACAAACACTTTGGTTACAAACTGCTAACCCAGACGTAGTACCTCAGGTTGAGAACTTTGCCCCAGGATGAGAATGGAAATCATGTGCCGGCGGCATGCTGGCAGCGGGAGGCCCCATGAGCGAAAGCGTGCCTCAGGTTAAGAACAGTTTCGGGTTAAGAACGGACCTCCGGAATGAATTTAGTTTGTAACACAAGGTGCCACTGGAGTGCTTTCGAACCGCTAGGTTGGCAGGAGCTGAGACCCAGCAACGGGAGCTCACCCTGTTGTGGGAATTAGAACCACCAACCTTCTGATCGGCAAGCCCAAGAGGCTCAGAGGTTTAGACCATAGTGCCACCTGTAGTAGTAATAATAATAATAATAATAATAATAATAATAATGGTCATTACATCGTTGTTGTGAAAATCAGGCAAAAATGGGTATAAATCTCCTAAATAAATAAACCCACATATGAGAAGGGCAGACTCACGTGGACTAGCAGAAGCCAGAGCCAGAAGGAGAAAGGGGAGGGCAACCAGAGACAGCTTCATGGCAGGTGGAGATGGAGAGACGGTCTGGGGTCTTTCCTTCCTTGGATGCCTTGACGCTCAGTACCCTGAAGCTCCCCTGGTCTCTTCTTATAGGTGATTCTAGCCACAAAACAATTGCGATTACAACATCTGGAGAGGATGTCACAGGACAGATAGCTTCAGAAAAGTTCCCCCACCCCTGAAAGCGATAGAGATAGCAAGAGGCTGATGTCCAAGATACAGAGTCAGGATGCAAACATGTCTGAGGCCCATCATCTGTGGCATCTTTCGATTGATAAGATGGAAAGAGGACTCATTGCCCTTTCAGACTCCTTCCTCGGCCGCTGAGGCTCCTCCTGGTCTCTTGTCTATAGGAGATATTTCTAGACAGTTTCCACTCCACCCAAAAGCAAGGGAGATAGTGAGTGGTTGACGCCCAAGATACCAAGGCAGGATGTGGACGTATCATGAGGCCCATCATCCATGGCATCTTTTGATTGATAAGGGGGGGGGGCGATAAGAGGCCTTTATTGGGCCAAGCCCATTTCTAGGTAAACAGCTCAGATGCTTCCAAAGCATCAGGGGAGGGCTGAGGCCCTGTGAGGGCAAACATAGGACAGTTGGAACAAGGTCCAGAGAAGGATCAGGCCTTGTTAGGGACACAGAAGTGTGGCAACCTGGCTACACACAAGGGAGAGTGACATGACCCCAGGGGCTGGGTTTTTTGGGGGGAGCTTTCTAAGAGTACTCCATGTCCAATGTGGAGATACCCAATAGTCACTCCTTTCAGAGGGACTCCAGGCAGGCTCCTGTCTTCTAGAGCCACCAAAGGCCCACCTGCACCTCCATTTTTGTCACTTTGTTTTCCACGCCTGACTTTGCACTCTCCCTGCCGAAGTGGAACTGATCCTATGGGGTCCCCACCAGCTGAGGAAATACCTGAGTGAATGCCATGACCCCCATCACTTTTCTCTGAAGGATTAGAGTAGTACCCAGTTGCGAACTGGCTGTGATGGTAAGCACCTGTATACCTTCCAACATTTCTGCAATGAAAATAGGGGTGTACTAAACAACAACAACAGTAATAATAATATTTATACCCCGCCCATCTGACTGGGCTGCCCCAGCCACTCTAGGCAGCTTCCAACATATATAGAACAAAATAAAACATTGAACATTAAAACCTTCCAAATACTGGGCTGTCTTCAGAAGTCTTCTAAAGGTTGTGTAGTTACTTATCTCCTGGGCTCTGGGGTCACATAACTCCATACCCTCCAACATTTCACCAATGAAATTAGGGATGTCCTAAGGAAAAGCAGGACATTCTGGTAATAAATCAGAAACTGGGATGGCTTCTGTACACCCAGGACTGCCCTGGGAAATAGGGAGACTTGGAGGGTCTTCCCGGGTTTCCTGGAGGAGGACCTGTGAGCGAGGTGCGGCTGGGTCAAGATGGTGGGAGAAGCAGCTGCATTCCTTGAGCAGTTCAAGTTGATGCTCCAGCAGCAAATCCAGCAACAGAGGGACTGGCAGAACTGGCAGCTGGAGATTAGTGGAGTGGCAGTGAAGCCAACTGCCTGACAAACTGGAGCAACTGCAGAACCAGAAGTTTGATAAAATGAAGCAGCTTTAAGCAGAGTGGACAAGAAGCCTCCTTGGGGAGAATAGTGAACTGGCCCTGTGGTGGTGGTGATCCATCATCCATATATATTGTTTTAAGGGTGATATAAGGGGGAAATACCAGGAATATCCAGTCTGCACCAAGGCATCCTGGAATGCTTCATCAAAAAGACTGTAACCAGCTCAATCAACAGCTTCTTCATTTTGTCACAAATGGAGTGTACTTTGCGACACTCACAAACATGTGTCAGGAAGAATAATATCTACTATCCAATAATATATCCTATCCAAGTTTCTATACACATCCCTACATTTTGCATCAATTGAAGACTAAATAGCAGGTTTCTCCAGGGAAAAGCAGCAGGACAAGAAGATGTGTGGAGAAGACCAGAGAGGTCCAAATGCCCCCTCCTCGCTTCCCAGTCAGTGTTTTGTTTTGTTGGGCCTTTCTTCCACCTTTTCCCATCTAGCTGCTGGATAGGAGAGCAATGTGAGCTGGGCTGGAAGTAGGCTGGAAGCTGGAGGCTGCAGAGACAGCTAGCTCTGTGCTGTATCTGAAGCTGTGACTGATGGAGAAGCAAGATCTGTTGGGGTGCTGATGCTGTGAACCTCCCACATCTTATACTCAGCTTGTATCTATGTATAAATAAACCATATGCCCCAAAGATACCACAGTCTCTGCTGACCCTCATTTCAAAGAATCTAAACCTGGGAAAGTTCCTGGAACCCCTGCATTCTCTCTCTCCTTGGAGAATGAGGTGGCTTGGAACAGTTTCAACCTCCTTGAACAATTCCGCATTAACAGCAAATTTGGCCACCTCACTGCTCCAGATTGTTTATGAATCCAGATTGTTTATGAATAAGTTAAAAAGCACAATACCAATCTCCATGGGTTGAGATTCATGCACAGAACCAAGCCTGGTTTGACACCAACTAAAGATGTCTTTTGGAATCACGCAGGGGGTGGTTTGGCGCAGGGTCACCAAAGACATGGGTCTGTCTTGTATCTGCAGCCTCCAGAATGCAGAGGGGACATAATGAAACCTCAGGAAATTGCAGGAGGCAAAGCAGTTTGCAATCTTCTGATAAGGAGGACCAGATGCCCAAGATACCAAGGCAGGATATGGGCACATCTAAACATGCAGGCAATCTGTGGCATCTTCTTTGTCGATAAGAGACCATTTGGGCCAAGACTGCTGCAGCTCCATGCTTTGAAGAAAAGCACCCACTGTGGGAACAGCCTGCTAGGCTAGAGGGACCAGTGACCTGATCCAGGAGGCTTTTCTTATGTCCTTCTTAGGAGCAGGCTTATCTAGAGTCACCAGGGGACCAGGGAGATTTCTCTTTTGCCCCACTCTGTGAAGGGGTCATGTTTGAACATGGCAGGGGGTGCCAGTAAGTGTGCCATTATTATCTCAGAAATCTTCTGGAGGATCACAACAGTACCCAATAACAGACTGAGCCCAAGGGAAAAACCTCTCCCTGAACAATGGAAATAACCCCTCAGGAATTCACACTCCACAAGAGACCGTTTGCTCTTCCAGCTCAGTTTCTCTTTGCACTGGCTCAGCCTCACTTACACTGAACATGCCCACATTTCACTGGGTGCCAGGACTGGACGACCCCCCACCTGTTCTGAAAAGGATGCAGGAGCTTGGGCTGGACGACCCTTTGGTGAAAGAGCTTCTTGCTGTGAGACAGTGGCGTAGGGTGGGGGGTGCAGGGGGGCCGGCCGCACCGGGCACAACATCTGGGGGTTAGGGTTAGGTGCGCAAATCCACGGGTTAGGGGGCGCAAATCCACGGGTTAGGGGGTGCAAATTACTTGCCTTGCCCCGGGTGCTGACAACCCACGCTACGCCACTGCTGTGAGGGCAATGGAGGCGGAGGAAGGAGCATCGGGAGATGCTGTCCAAGAGGCAGAGGAAGTATCCACCAGTTTTTTGTTTCAAGCACCTTGAGCAATTTGGCAACAGCAGGAAACCTGGTCCCCTCACTGCTCACCCCTAAGGTTAAAAAGGACAGGTCCCAATACTGGTCCTTGGAGGACTTCACTTTCTGCCTCTTTGCATTCAGAAAGTTGTCCATTTATTCCTTCTCTCTGCTTCCTGTTATGTAACCAGTTGCTGATCCAAAAGATCACCCCTCCTCTTGGTGATAATAAAAGGATTCCCATCTGTGGATCCCTCCCCGCCTTATGGACCGACAATGTTACCTTTGCTATTTATCTGCAGTCTATCTAATCCTTCTTTTTCTTTTTGCACAGATGCACAACTAAGCATCATCAGGGTTCAAGGAAACATTTGCAGCCAGGCAAAAACACCCAGTGAGAACTTGAAACTGGGCTAGTGGAAGGTGGTGGCAGTCTGTGGGGAGTTCTGAGGGCCAAAGAGGGAGGTATGTATTTGGTTCCCCATCCCAGCTGGCCATTTACCCAAAGGGAGAGAGAGGAGGACTCTCTTTTACACTACAGATTGCAAACAGGGTGGGTAGGAATAAACATTCAGCTTACAACAGAACTTGTAGAAAAAAACATTTATTGGGGAAATTCTTATTCTGTGGTAATATTAAAACGGTCGTGTGTATAAAAATAGCAAAGAGGTTGATTGCTTTGTGTTCCCTCCAAAGATACATAAATAAAATAATTAGCAGGGTTGGACCCTTAGGGTTTGAGGAAAATAAAATACCTTAAATAAATTTAAATTATCATAGAAAGTCCCTGAGGTTTTGACTTCAAGGTGACGACAAAAGCCACCAGCCGAGTGGTGTTCTTGAGATGCCCTTGGCAGGAAATGATGCCAGGCCTGGGATGCCCATCGACCCAGCCAAGGATGCCGGCTTCTGTTGCTCCAGGACTGATGCTCAGTTCAGCTCGAAGTGGTCCATGTATTCTTGGACCCATTTCTCTGCGGGGTTGGCACAGATCTCCCGGCCCTTCTTTGTGGTGAACCTGGAGGGAATCAAAGGAGAGACACAATCAGCCTTCCATCTGGCTTGCTCTGCCTTCCTGTCAAGCCCTCTTTTGCCTTTGAGGTAGGATCATAAAATCATTGTCAGGGATTCTTTAGCTGTGATTCCTGCATTGCAGGGGGGGACCCCCGGCGGCCCCTTCCAACTCTACAATTCAGTGATTTTTGGGGTGGGCTTGGATGGCTCAGCTAGACTCCTGACAGATGGCAGAAAGCGAGCGGGGTTGGTATATTTATTAATAAATAAAATTTATTATTATTATAACAATAATAATAATAATTATTTTTGGGACAGCTGGACACCCCAACCCTTTCCCATGCCTGGAGGCTGCAAACAGAGCAGAATTATTTTTATACTTACACAACACCTGGCTGAGAGCACCTGCTGTTTGTTTCATAATAGTCAGCTATGTAGTTCCGGGGGATCTTCTTTGCCGTGTAGGTGAAGCAGCAGGAAGTTGGAGGGTCGGACCCCACTGGAAGAGAAAGGAAAAGGCGTTGAGTGCAACCAGCAAAACTCTGCTGCAAAGTCGTTGGCCAGGAATTCCGTTTCCTGCCCTCTAGCCTCTTGAATCCAGCATGTACATAGGAAGGTGCAAGCATCGGGTGGAACTAGGGAACGTGCACCCTTAGGAGGCAGTGATGGCTACTAAGCATGGTGGCTTTAAAAGAGGACTGGACCAATTCATGGAGGAGGAGAGAGCTTTTGTGCTTGGATCCTGCCTGCTGGTTTCTCAGAAGATGCATCTGATTGGCTGCTGTAAAAAAAGGATGCTGGACTAGATGGTCTACTGTCCTGATCCAGCAGGCTCTTCTTATGTTCTGTGTCCATTTGGCTCAAGTCTGCTTACACTAGCTGGCAGCAGCTTTCCAGGGTTTCAGATGGAGTGTCTTCTCCCCAGCTCCCTACCTGGAAATGCCCTTGGGGATAGAACCTGGGACCTTCTGTGTGCAAAGCAGAAGCACCTTAAAGGTAAAGGTAAAGGGACCCCTGACCATTAGGTCCAGTCGTGCCCGACTCTGGGGTTGCGGCGCTCATCTCACTTTACTGGCCGAGGGAGCCGACATACAGATTCCAGGTCATGTGGCCAGCGTGACTAAGCCACTTCTGGCGAACCACAGCAGCACATGGAAATGCCGTTTACCTTCCCGCTGGAGCGGTACCTATTTATCTACTTGCACTTTGACGTGCTTTCGAACTGCTAGGTTGGCAGGAGCAGGGACTGAACAACGGGAGCTCACCCCGATGCAGGGATTTGAACCGCCAACCTTCTGATCGGCAAGTCCTAGGCTTTGTGGTTTAACCCACAGCGCCACCCATGTCCCTATAGAAGCACTTTAAGAGGAGGTTAGCCAGTGGTGAGGAGGAGGAGGAGCTCTGCACATGCCCCCAAAGCCCACAGGCTATTCTAACCTATTCCTCCCCCTGTTGCGGGGTCGTGGGGTTAAGCCCCCGTCCGCCCTGCTGTGCACATGGTGGCTGAGCTCCAACAGCCCATGTGGAATCGGATAAAACTCCTTGTAAAAACAAGAGGGCCGAGTTCAAAGGGCACAGAGAGGACATCTCCACTGCCACACCGCCCTCCCTGTGGGGATGGAATTCCAAGCGACTGAAGCCTGCCTCTGGAAGGAGCTCATGTGGTGCAGGATTGGGAAGCGGAGAGGGCGAGAATCCTGGATTGAGGCTGCAATCCTGTGCCTGCTGCCCCCTGCCCGAAACCCCGGAAAGCTGCTGCCAGTCAGTGTAGACAACACTGAGCTTGATGGACCAGTGGTCTGATAGGGCAGCTTCCTATTTGGAAAGGGCTGTAGCTGAAGTGCAGAGCGGCTGCTTGGCTCCCAGTTCAACCCCCTTGGTACCTCCAGGTAGGACTCTCTCTCCCAGAAACCCTAAAGCAGGCACCCCCAAACTCGGCCCTCCAGTTGTTTTGGGACTACAACTCCCATCATCCCTAGCTAACAGGACCAGTGGTCAGGGATGGTGGGAATTGTAGTTCCCAAAAGGCTGGCGGGGTGAGTTTGGGGATGCCTGCCCTAGAGAGCCACCGCCAGCCAGAGCAGAGACAGCTTCCCAAGCAGGGGCCACGATGGTGAGCGTGCATTTCTCCCGGGCCCCCAAAACCCCACCCCGGGGGAAGGACCCCCACTTTGCCCTGAAATGCCCCTCCGCTCCCCATGCTGAGCCTTGAAACTGACCTGGAGCAGCGATGGCCGAGAGGCAGAGGGCCAGTATCAGGAGCGCGGCCACAGCCCAGGCACGTGGAGATTGAGAAGCATTCATTTTGCTGAGAGGCTGGAGTGGTTGATCTTGGTTGAGGTTCTCCTGGAAGGTCTTGCCGTCTCTGGTGCTCCCTCCATGAAGCCTGCCTCCTTTTATGGATCAGGGAGCCGGGCGGGGGGGAGCATCGCCGGCGGAATTTCCCGTCGGCGGTGATGTCACCCCGAAGGGGTGCGGGAACCTCCATCGCGGAGGCCAAAAAAGCAGGGGAAGTTTCTGAAGAAGATGTATTACATCTGCGCCGCCCCGCTCAAGTGACTTAAAAATTGCTTCACCCACATTGGGTCACGAGAGGAAGGAAGAAGAGCTGGTGAAACCGGGGTGGGGGGGGTGTAGGGCGGCGGATAGAAAGAAGGGAAGATGGACACTCCACTCCACTCTCCCTTTGCTGAAAAATGTGCCGCGTCAGCTCTTTCAGGCACCAGATGCAAAGGGAAAAGAAAAACTTGTGCAATCCGGGGGGAGAAGCGGCCCCACCCTGAGCAAGCGCCCCCAAACAGAGCTTTTGCATTCGTTTTGCATCCAGAGAAAGGAGAAACCAGTTGCAAATTCCCGGAGGGGATTTTGCTGGATGCAGCTGGAAGGAAGAGAACCGTTTTTTCGTGAGCTCACACGGATCTTTTTAAAAATATATATATTTATTTTATTACATATCACAATAGAAATGTTTGAGAGAGACGGAAACGAACAATGCCTTGCCTGTTTGGCACCATACGGCCCCTAACATGAGACGCAGAGAGCGGAGAAATGGTCATTGCAGAGAGAGAAAAACAGTGCTGCAAATAATAAGGTCCTGGATCATAGAAACAGAGAATTGTAGAGTTTGAGGGGACCCCAAGGGTCATCTAGTCCAGCTCCCCACAATGCACGAATGGAAGCATAACAGAACAGTCAGTACTAAGTCCTGGGAGATGATCAAATCCAGGTAAAATCATAACTTGTAGGAACCTGCCAGCCATGAGTTTATCTTTTGACATAAGTCATGAACGACCACCATGCAGCTGTGCGGTGTGTAGGTTTGGCTTTACTCTGGAAATACCGTTCTTTTAATATTATCTATTATTACTTTTCCTCTAAAGAGACTGCAGTGGCATGCATGGTTCGCTCATCGCTACCTCCCTATTTTATCCTCACAACGACCCTGTGAAGTAGGCTGGACTGAGAGGCGGTGCCATTTTAGAAGTGTGTGAAGCTGGGCGTACGCAACATACATTTAAAGCACACACGCAAATCCTGGGAACTGTAGATTGCTCTTGACAGAGCGCCAATTCACAACGCCCATAACAAACCACGGTTCCCAAGATTCATGGAGAGTGGTGTGCTCTATATGTCTGTTGCATGTCAGAGAAGAGAAAGAAGAAGAAGAAGAAGAAGAAGAAAAAGAAGAAGAAGAAGAAAGAAAAAGAAAAAGAAAAAAATATCAGGGAGGCAGTTAAGTCCCACTCAGCATAATCAATCACAAGACAGAGTGTGCACACACCATTTGAATGGCAATGTTCATCAACTTTGGGGGCCCCCAGCCCCCTCAAATATTTTGGTGGGATGGCCGAAGGGACCTCGGCCCCTAGAGTTGGCTCCTATGATACATAGCATGCAGGGAGTGGATAGGGAGAAATGATGGCTATCCAATGAAGTTGAATGTTGGAAAGTTTGGGACAGATGCTCCTTCACACAGTGTATCGTTAAACTGTGGAACTCACCCCCACAGGAGGCAGTGAGGCCCATCAATTTGGATGGCTTCAAAAGAGGATTAGACAAATCCATGGGGGATAGTACAACCACTAGCCACTGACAGAGGCAGTAAATGCCTCTGAATAGCAGTAGCCAGGATTGTAAGTGGGGAGAGTTGCTATGGCTCTCAGGTTCTGATGGAAGTTTATAAAATGATGCCTGGCATGGAGCAAGTGGACAAAGTTTTTGTCCCTCTCTCATAACACCAGAACTCGTGGACATCCAAGGAAGCTGCATGTTGGAAGTTTCAGGACAGAGAAAAGGAAGGACTTTTGTCTAGTTAAACTATGGAACTCCCTCCCACTGGAGGCAGTGATGACCACCAACTTGGATGGCTTTAAAAGAGGATTTAGTAGACAAATTCATGGAGGAGAGGGACACTGATGGCGATTAGCCATTATGGCTATGCTCTGTATCCAGAGTTTGAGCCAGTGATGCTTCTGAATACCAGTTGCTGGAAACCACAGGATCCTGCTTGTGGGTCTCCCATGATAGGGATCTGTTTGGCCACTGTCAGAACAGGATGCTGGACTAGCCTGCTTTGTCCAGATCCAACTCTATTCAGGTTTCTTATGAATGGCTCAAGGTCAACCAGTGTAAGTTCCCCTCTACACTTGACTCTGCTAGCATTTTGCAAGGGCATACCAGGAACTGTAGGTTTGCTCAGTTAAAGTGGGTTAAAAGGCTCTGTTGCCTTGGCACCCGAAAAGCACACAAAAGATGAGAGGAGCCAGAATTTCTGTGGTTGAGAAAGTGGTGGGGAAATGCAATGAGAAGCATATGATGAAGGCATGACTAAGGGCAAGATGCATAAACACCCCACCTGCAAATCACGATGAAGGATTGTGGTCATGTAACCTCCCCACAAAACAAATCAGAGCAAATGCTCAGTATGAACAGAAGAACATAAGCAGAGCCTGCTGGGTCCGGCCAATATTGGCTCATCCAGCCCAGCATCCTGTCCTCGCAGGGCCACCCAGATGCATCTTCTGGAAAGCGGAACTCAAGCACAAGAGCAGCCTCCTCTTCTGTGGTTCCAGCAACTGGTATTCAGAAGCATTGCTGTCTCTAACCATGGAGGCAAAGCCAAGCCATTATGGCTAGTAGCCATCAGCAGCCCTCTCCTCCATGAATTTGTCTAATCCCCTTTTAAAGCCATCTAAGGTTGAAGGATGGAGTTTCATAGTTTAACTATGCACTGTGTGAATAAGATTTTATTTTACTTGTCCTGAGAGGCCATAGGATGTGTTCACATTAGGCACCAGAGCACAGTGAGGTGTTGTTTCTTAGTGCATTTCATTCCTCACCCCCAGCTGTTCACATCAGGACAGCTCAATTAGCCTCAGATTCATTCCAGGGGGTGTTGGCTGGGCTGGGGTGTCTTTACCCCATGCAGAAATGTTCACCCCTTGGTTAGATACAGATCAGGAATGGCTTAACCCTACACTTTGGAACTCCCTGCCACTTCACATCCGGCAGGCACATTCAGTGTACTCTTTTTGGCGCCTGCTAAAAACATTTTTGTTTTAGACAAGCCTGTCCAGAAGTTTAGAAAGTTGATGTGGGTTTTAATCTGTTTTTAGTTTGTTGTTATTTTAGCTCTTTGAAAGTCTTAAATTATTGTTGTTCCTTCTCCTTATTGCTTTATCTTTTTCACGAACCATGCCTAGCTTCTTTTCCCACAGTCAAATGGTGCATGAATCTGATGAAATAAACAAATAAGGACCCCAGTTGGTGTGAAGTTGGTGTGAAAAACAAGGCTTCAAACCCGTCATATATTATGAGAAATGTAAGGACATAAGAATGTAAGAAGAGCATGCTGTTGTTGTTGTTTAGTCATTTAGTTGTGTCCGACTCTTCGTGACCCCATGGACCAGAGCACGCCAGGCACCCCTGTCCTCCACCGCCCCCCACAGCCTGGTCAAACTCATGCTCGAGAACACTATCCAACCATCTTGTCCTCTGCCGTCCCCTTCTCCTTGTGCCCTCCATCTTTCCCAACATCAGGGTCTTTTCCAGGGAGTCTTCTCTTCTCATGAGGTGGCCCAAGTACTGGAGTCTCAGCTTCAGGATCTGTCCTTCCAGTGAGCACTCAGGGCTGATTTCCTTCAGAATGGATAGGTTTGATCTTCTTGCAGTCCATGGGACTCTCAAGAGTCTCCTCCAGCACCATAATTCAAAAGCATCAATTATTCGGCGATCAGCCTTCTTTATGGTCCAGCTCTCACTTCCATACATCACTAAAGAGCATGCTGGATCAGGCCAATTGCCTGTCTAGGGCACCATCCTGTTCTTACTGTGGATGACTAGATGACCCTTGTGAATACCAGCAAGCAGGACCAGCCTTAAAGGTTCACCTTTAAAGTCATCTGGCTTTGTAGCCATCACTACCTGCTGTGAGAGGGAGCGGCAGAGTTTTAACTCTGCTCTCAGTAAAGTGTTTTCATACCGTAAACTGCCGTGTGATCCTTGGATAAAATTTAATACATAAACATAATTTCATCCATTTTGCTGCATCAATTAAACTAAATTGCTTTATTTGGATATTGAACAAATGTGCAATAGATTTGTTACTAGGTTTAATTTTATTATCTTAGCTTAGTTGGTACAGCATGAGACACTTAATCTTAGGGTTTTGGATTCGAGACCCATGTTGGGCAAAAGATTCCTGTACTGTAGAGGGTTGGGCGATCAGGGTTTCCCAAACTTGGGCCTCCAGCTGTTTTTGGACTACAACTCCCATCATTCCTACCTATGCGGCCCAGCAGTCAGTGATGATGGGGACTGTAGTCCAAAAACAGCTGGAGACCCAAGTTTGGGATTACCCTTGGGGTCCCTCCCAGTGCTACAATTCATCATCTCCCATAGTGGGTTGTGCAAATCACTCTTCTGAATAATGCTTTCTATAGGGGAGGGGAGGCAGCACTGAGGATGAACTTATGGAATTAAGAAGGGGTGTCCCCCCAAATTTTGAGTATCACTGGGTTAGAGAAAGAGTGTTGCTGCTGTTGTTTAAACTTGAGAAAGACGACAGAATTTATTCTTTCCTTTTTCTCCCTCTTATTCTTTTTTTAGAAAGGAAAAGGGGAAAATACAACATATCTCGTGATTCCTGCTGGCAGGAAGCAAGCTTTGCACGGCTGCCCTGGAAATTCCTAGCTTTTAATGAAATGCAAGGGAATAGAAAACCGTCTGATTTCACCTACCCTGTATGTTTTATCAAACTGGGCCTTATTTTTTGCCAGTGAAGCATTTGAATTGCATTCTCATCAGCCCCAAGATGGTGTCCCATCCTTCTAAAAATAAGATTATGAGAAAAGGGAAGAAAGAACCGGAATTGAGCAGCAGAAGAAACTCAACTCAGATATGATGGAAGTTCTATTTTCCCATTCAACGCTTTAGAAAAAAAACCATCGGAATAGACTCAGATAATGGATTCTGATGCAAAAATGCAACGAAAGGGCCTCCTTAGCAGTTTTCTGCCTGTCTTATTGTCAGGGACCATTCTGAGGAGGCCCGCACTGAGGAGGAATGGTTGGAGCCTCCCCGTCCCCCTGCTCCTGATCAGGATCCTGAATCTTCCCAGGAGCAGGAGGACAGTATGGATTTGGAACAGTGGTTTGCAGAGGGACATAGTTCAGAAGGCAGAAGCTGGGAAGTACTGTGTGGGGAACAGCTAGGAGGAGAAGAACTGGGAGAGAGTAAACAGACTCATTGTCACTGGAAAGCATCCATCTGCTCAACCCAAGGTCAAGGAGAGCAGTTAAGGTGGCAGCACAGAAAGCACAGTGGTTGTGAGATCAGGTTGCAAGACGCAGAAGTGAAGTGGGTGACTAGGGAGGAAGTGGGTGGAACCCTAAGTTGGGAGCACCTTCATTCCTAGGAATGGATTCTTTGTTCTCTCACTGTGATCATTAAAATTTCGAACTGGCAAGGGACTCATTTCGCTTTGTTCTGCTTATCTACCAAAGGGGGGGAGGCAGCCGAGTCCCTGAAGTAAAGCCTGACACTTATGCTGCCATTTGCTGGAGTTTAAGGCTGGGGACGCAGGTGGCGCTATGGGTTAAACCACAGAGCCTAGGACTTGCCGATCAAAAGGTCAGCGGTTCGAATCCCTGCGATGGGGTGAGCTCCCTTTGCTCGGTCCCTGCTCCTGCCAACCTAGCAGTTCGAAAGCACATCAAAGTGCAAGTAGATAAATAGGTACCGCTCCGGCGGGAAGGTAAACGGTGTTTCCGTGCGCTGCTCTGGTTTGCCAGAAGCGGCTTAGTCATGCTGGCCACATGACCCGGAAGCTGTACGCCAGCTCCCTTGGCCAATAAAGTGAGATGAGCGCTGCAACCTCAGAGTCAGCCACAACTGGACCTAATGGTTAGGGGTCCCTTTACCTCTAAGGCTGGGGAAATCTGTGCATAAAATAAAAGACCAGCCATAAACCTGGAGAAAAAAGGTCAGCTGGACTAGCTGAGCCTTTGTGATCTGACAGCTAAGGAGACAACGATGAGTGTGGTGAGTGGTTAGAGTTTTGGGACTAGGAACCGGGAGACCAGGGTTTGAATTTCCACTTGTCTATGAAGTGCATCACCTGACCTTGGGAGCCAGCCTCTGTCTCTCAGCCTAACCCTCCTCACAGGGTTATTATGGGGATGAAATGAGCAGGTGGAGAAGCATATATACCACCTTTATTACACTGATCGTTCCCGCCGGGCTCCCCAGGCTTGCGGATAGCAGCCTGTTCTGGGGGCTGGGGTCAGGGGAAGCTCGGGCTTCCCCCACTCCAGCCCCGTGCCTGGGGGGGGGGGAAATAATTTTTTTTCTTTATTTCCCCCCCAAAAAAACTAGGTGCGCCCTGTGGGCCGGTGCGCCCTATAGGGCAAAAAATACGGTATACACTGCTTGATAGTAAAACAACACCCAGAAAGATAAAATAGTAAAATCAAGAAAAAATCACAGCAATAGTTTGAAACATACAAAAAGCTAAAACGCATTTTTTTTTAATTTCATAAAATTTATCAAAGTTTCACAAGATTGTGCATCTTTTTTTGCCACCCTGGGCTCCTTGGTGGAGTGGGGTGGGGGGAATGGTGGGATATCAACTCAATAAAGAAACATTTTTTTTAAAAAAGCCCAATATGTATACTTCAATTTGAAAACAGTCCGTAGATATATTTCCTATTCTCATTAACTGGTGACTCAAATGATGATCTGAAGGCAAGAAATGACATGTTTTATAAAATTATCATACATATGTATTGTTAATTGGGAAAAAACTCAATGACTTTCGCTTGTAAGGATGACGGCGCAAAAGCAGCTCCAGGCAGCATCTTGGAATCTTCTAACCCTGGTAGAGAGGAAGGCAACTCCCTGTCTTGCCAAATCCTTTGTTTTTTCCAGCGTGTTTTGAGACACATTCTCTTTTGCTTTTCGGGAACACAATTAACACCACCCCATGTGGGCCGGGGCAGCGCTTGTCTTGTTAGAATAAAGTTATAAACTCAAATGAAATGGCAGCCAGTCCCTGCTCCCCCCCCCCACTGGTTTAGCCCTCTTAGGCCTGGGGCAAATGTACCCAGCCCCCCCTCCAAATCTGCACAGACTTACTTTCATGGAAAGTATATCCATGGAACAAATCCATCTCGTGAAATGGGGCAGAGGTGCACACAGTCTATGGAAAATCTGGCTTGAGTCTGTATGCAGCTTCACACCAGCTTCTGTCCTGCTGCAAATCTTTTTTTTTAAAAAAAGATCCTCATTAACTACCACCCCACCTGCATCACAGGTCGCTCACCTGAGCTTAAGGGGGAATAGAGAGAGCTAGTGTGGCGTAGTGGTTAGATTCATAGCCATAGCTGTCAACCTTTCCTTTTTTTGCGGGAAATTCCCTTATTCCAGCACCATTTCCAGCTGCTTTCTGCTGCTATCCTGGATTGTTAGATCTCCCGTAGACTGTCCCCGGGACAGGTGAGGCTGCTGATCCCTTATTTTTGAGGCTGCTGATCCCTTATTTTCAATTCTGAAAGTGTCATAGCTGTCAACGTTTCCCTTTTTTAAAGGAAAATTCCCTTATTCCGAATAGGATTCCTGGCAAGAAAAGGGAAAAGTTGACAGCTATGGTTAGAGTGTCAGACTAGGGCCTGGGAGAGACCACAGTTCAAATCCCCTCTCAGCCATAAAGTTCATTAGGTGATTGGGGACCAGTCACCGCCTCTCAGCCTAACCTACCTCACAGGGTTGTTGTGAGGATAAAATGAGGAGGGAAAGAACCATGTCTGCCACTGCTTGAGCTCCTTGGAGGAAAAGACAATACAATGCAGGTAACTCACAACTTACGTGCATTTAACTTGTGCACATTAAGCTTCACGCGCTTGGCAAAAAATACTAAAAAGGGGGCAGAAAGCAGGCAGGCATCTGGGGAACAAATACTATGGCTATCCCACCTGCCATTGAACCCAACGTGTTTTGACTATATGTGCCTAAGCTGGGATAGTTCAGTCAATAGAGCATGAGACTATTACTCTCAGGGTGCTGGGTTCAAGTTCTATGTTGGACAAAAGATTCCTGCATTGCTGGGGGTTGAACTAGATGACCCTGATGGTTCCTCCAGCTCTACAATTCAGTGAATTTTGCTTTACAAACTGTCTCCCGGAACGTAACCCCTGCATAAGTTGAGAGTCGCCTGCACATAAGTGAGGGGCAAGATGGAGGATGACTACATTTTCATACTTGTTGCTTGGTTGAAGAACTACATGCCAAAATTAAGACGAAAGGGGGTGAATTTTGGTTCATCCCCAGAAAGTATGCATTATGTAAGTCTATCTTTAAGTGCTGGCTGAACGGACTTTGGGCTACTTTTGCAAGACTTTCCTTCTAAACTCCTCCAGTTTTGGATGCCTCCCCTCAGCTTCTTTTTCCACGACAGCCAACTTGTTGCATCGTACAAAACTTCTGTGCAGTCTTGACTCACACTCAGAGGGCTGCTGTAGTTGATGAGCAGGCAGAAAGCAATTTCGTGAATGGAGTTAAAAATTCATTGAAATCGGCGGTGACTGAGCAAAAACGTGATTGGTGAGTCACTTGAAACTCTGCATTTCATTGAGAAACAGGCAATTCAGTTCCCATTCAGACCTCAAGGGATATCCCGGGCGAGGCTTGTCGGAAGGAGCATCAATGTTTCCACAACAGCGTCTTTCCCCCAGAATTGGCACCATTTGCTTACACCTGAATTCTTGAGTGCTCCGACAATAGCACTCTAAAGCTGTTGCGTTCCTGGGGTTCCACCCTGTCAATTCACCCCACCAGTCCTTGTTTCTCTTCTAAGCACCCACAATTCCCTCAACTCTTCTTCATAAGGCATGGTTTCCAGGCTCTTATCACAGCGTTGTAGAGTTGGAAGGGAACCCGAGGGTCATCTAGTCTGATCCACCTGCAATGCAGGAATCATAACCAAGGCGTCCCTGGCAGATGGCTATCCAACCTCTGCTTAAAAACCTCCAAAGAAGGAGAGTCCATCATCTTCTGAGGGAGTCCATTCCACCCTCAAACAGCTCTTACTGTAAGAAAGTTGCTCGTAATGTTTGGTTGGCATTTTCTTTCTAGTAATTTGAATCTGTTGGTTCAGGTCCTCCCCTCTGGAGCAGGAGAAAACAAGCTTCCTGCTTACAGCCCTTCAGATATTTGAAAATGGTTCTCATATTACCTCGCCAGTATCATCCTCCAGTATACCTGAAGGAGTGTCTCCACCCCCATCGTTCAGCCCAGATCTGTGGGTCTTCTGGCGGTTTCCTCATTGCGAGAAGTGAGGTTACAGGGAACCAGGCAGAGGGCCTTCTTGGTGGTGGCACCCGCCCTGTGGAACGCCCTCCTGTCAGATGTCAATGAAATAAACAACTATCTGACTTTTAGAAGACATCTGAAGGAAGCCCTGTTTAGGGAAGTTTTTAATGTTTCAAGTTTTATTCTGTTTTTAATGTTCTGTTGAAAGCTGCCCAGAGTGGCTGGGGAAACCCAGCCAGATGGGCCGGGTAGAACGTAATAATAATAATAATAATAATAATAATAATAATAATAATAATTTCTGTCTCCTCTTCTCCAGTCTAAACATTCCCAGTTCCCTCAACCATTGCTCATAAGGCTTGGTTTCCAGACCCTTGATCATCTGGCTATCCTTCTTCTGCTCACCTTCCAGTTTGTCAGTATCCCCCTTGAACTGGGGTGTCCCAAACTGGACACAGGACACCAGGTGTGATCTGACCAAGGCAAAAATGGATGGTGCTATGACTTCCCTTGATCTGGATACTAGACTTCTGTTGATGCAGCCTAGAATTGCATGAGCTGGGTTGTTGTTTTTTTGCTGCTCCATCACACTGTTGACTCATGATCCACTAAGACCCCGGCCTAGATCCTTTTCACACATGCTGCTGTCAAGCCAGGTGTTCCCCAACCTATATTTGGGCATCTGATTATTCTTGCCTAAGTGCAGAGCCATACATTTGTCCCTATTGAAATTCATTTTGTTAGTTTTTGGCCCAGTTTTCCAATCTGTTGCGGTGATCTTGAATCCTGATTCTGTCTTCTACAGTATGAGCTACTCATCCCAGGTAGCACATGCAGAAGGATCTCAGGTTCAATCCCTGACAGCATCTCCAGGTAGGACTTGTAATGCCTCTTGCCTGAAACCCCAGAGAGCTGCTGCCAGTCAGAGGGTCTTCTTGGTGGTGGCACCTGCCCTGTGGAAGATACTGAAACTAGATGGATCTCAATGGCCTGAACTCAGCACAATTTGCAGCTTCCTACAGCTGATGTTCTTGCCGGTCCCATGAAGGCTGTGGAAATCCAGAACAGGTGCCAGGTGGAAGTTTGAGGGACTGTTTGATCCAGTGACCCTAACCTGACTTGATCCTAATGAGACATTGTGGATGGGGAAATGTGTTGATCTGCATGGAAGGGGGGGGCGGGAGATGGGTGCTGGGTGGCTCTGGGTGGCCCAACTCTTGCGGGTTTTAAAGCAGAGGTTGGATGGTCAACTGTCAGGGATTCTTTAGCTGTGATTCCTGCATGGCAGCGGGTTGGACTAGAGGACCTTTGGGAGTCCCATCCAACCTTACAATTCTCTGTTTCTATGATTCTCCCCTCCTTGGGCTACTAATCTCTCTCTCCCCCTCCCCTGGGGCTCAGAAAGCTCTCAGGGTCCCAATTTCACCTCCCCCCTCCTCATCCGGGGTTCTCCAGCGCCAGCTCCCATTCAGGATCCAACCACCCCCTCCATGATACCTCCATAGGGCTCATGAAACACCCACATATTGTCAGGGTGACGGGGAGAGGAGGTGATTCAGTGGTCCACCCCCAGATATGTCTGAAGGTGCCTCAGAAATGAAGGGAGATCTCAGAGGCTGGCAAGCCTCTGATCTGAAGGGTGACTCATCGCCACCACAGCTGTTGCATTCCAAAGGCATTGTTCTCTGGAGGGGCTCCTCTGAGCCCGGAAAGGATCCCCACACCTGGGTGGCTTGGCAGCCTACAAGCAGGGAGGTGGGGTGCAGGACAGCAACGCCAGGAACTCCTTCTCCCGCTTGGATCGTGAACGGCAGCACTGCAAAGGACCCATTGTTTTCCTTCCAGCGTTAGACACCCCCTCACCTCCCCTATCACTCAGAATTCCAAGCAGGGCTCCCAGGTTTTGCTATGTGGCTCATTATTCCTAGTCATAGCCGGAACAGTGGTCCCAAGAAGTCACGATAAGGGCGCACTGTCTGGAATTTTCCCGTAAGGAGGCCTGGCTGGGGGATTTTCCCAGGCACATCATGGGATGCAGAGTGCTGCCAGAGCAGTCTGAAGCCTTCAGGGTGGACAGAGAGAAAGATCACAGCTGTAGGCAGGGCTTTGGGGAGAGATGTAAGGCCCCTCCTCGAATTCTCAGCTCCTTCTCTTTTAAAGCGAGCTTCTTGTGCTTTTAGTGGGACAGAATCATAGAAATGTGGAGTTGGAAATGAAAAGAAGTGAATAAACAGATGAAATAAATAAATTTCTGCAGCTTGCTGGCACTAAGGTGAGATGACTTGTTTAAAAAAGGGGATTAGAGACATTCACGGAGACAAATTCTTGTGCTCGAATCCTCCTTGCAGGTTCCCCATAGCGGGCATCTGGTTGGCAACCGTGAGAACAGGAGGCTGGACTATATGGGCCATTGGCCTGATTCTGTAGTGTTCTTGTGTTCTTATGTTTGGAGGAAGAGGAGAGTTTTATCAATGGCTGTTAGCAGTGATGCTGCTATGGAACCTACATGTTGAGGGGCAGTCTACCACTGAATACCACTCTGTGGTGGAGAATATCAGAGAGAAGGTGATGCAGTCATGCTCTGCTTGTGGACTTCCAACTAGACTGGGCTGCCATCCCTATCACTACCAGGTAGTGTGGCCAACCTGTTTACTCTATCACAGCTGTGCTGACTGCAAGGGATGATGGGAATTGTAGTCCATACGGCGCAGGCTTAATCCAGATGGCTTAATCCAGCAGGGCTCTCCCGAGGTCTTTTGCTTTATTATTATTTATTTCATAAACAATTATACACCACTAGATTTACTAAAATATGTAAATCAAGAAAAGTTTGCAATACATTAAAACATACAGGAAGTCATAAGACTAAAAGCAGATTAAAATTCACACCAGCTTTCTAAGCATCTGGGCAGGCTTGTCTAAACAAGAATATTTTTAACAGTGAAAGGAATATGGTGAAGGTGCCTGCTTGAGATCAAGAGGCAGGGAGTTCCAAAGGGTAGCCACTGCCACACTAAATGACCGAGTTCTTACAAATGTGGAATGGGCATTCTGTGACACCTGCAGTAGTGTCAGTTCTGCCAATTGAGGCAGCCTTTCCATTACGAGGCAAGTAGCTGCTGCGTTTGAGATGTCACGATGGAGAAAAGCGGACCTCCCCCCCCCCCAGGAACTTCAGAGCCGATACTTTCCAGAGGCCAACTAGCTCATCTACTGACTGATTGGCTTCCTTCCTTCCATCCTTACTTCCCCTTTTTTCTTTGGCCTGCTCTGGGGGAATTTCCATGGGTCTCTGGTTAGCTGCTGCGATGCTGATCTGGCAATTCACGGTGTCTGCTTTGAGCTTGGCTGGCTGAATATTTGATGACATACGGGATCACTTGCCAGGATGGAAAAAGTGAAAAGAAGAAGAAGAAGAGCATTGCATACACAAATAAATTAAGTGACCTATAGTGAGGAAACTCCAGTTTGTAGTATGGTTTGGCTGGTACTGTAAAAGATTTTTCTTTTGACGCTTGAACTCTGCAAAAGATGAAACAGAGAAGCTGAATTAGGTATTGATACAAGTGCTACTTTAGATAAGAACTTACCTATTTGTATGATGCTAATGACTTTATCCCTTCATGGATCACTGCCTTGTCGTGGTGAAGGGGCTTGAATAACTTCAAGAAGCTATGAGCTATGCCATGCAGGGCCACCCAAGACGGACAGCTCATAGCCGAGAGTTTAGACTAAATGTGATCAACCTGGAGAAGGAACTGGCAATCCACTCCAGTAATTTGCCAAGATAACTCCATGGACATAAAAAAGAGAAGCTTTGAGAAGAAAGTGAGAGTTTCCAAGGCATGCTCTGGTTCATGGGGTCATGACTAAGATGATGAAGACGACTAAACAAAATGACTTTATTGGCCGTTTTGTAGTCCTGGTTATTCCTGCTCTCCTTTTCATATTCCTTATTTTGTTGTATTCTTACCTGCCACCCCAATCTCTAAGTGGTGTGAGATTTCAGGGGTTCCTGACTCTCACCCAGGGTTCGGTCTCCTTGAAATGAGGAACAATGGAGACTGTGGTATTTTTAGGATATATGGTTTTATTTACACGTATATACAACCTGAGCCTTAGACGGATGGGCTCACAGCATTAACACCCCCAAAAGCCTTGCTTCTCCCAGAGCCACAGCCTTGGAGTCACACGTAAATCCAGCATGGCTCTGCGTCCCAGCATCTCTGCCTGCAACCTGCTTTTAGCTCAGTGAAGCTGAATGCTGGAAAATTCAGGGCAGATAAAAGAAAGTCCTTCTTCCAATAAGGTAAAGGTAAAGGGACCCCTGACCATTAGGTCCAGTCGTAGCCGACTCTGGGGTTGCGGCGCTCATCTTGCTTTATTGGCCGAGGGAGCCAGCGTACAGCTTCTGGGTCATGTGGCCAGCATGACTAAGCCGCTTCTGGTGAACCAGAGCAGTGCACGGAAACGCCGTTTACCTTCCCGCCGGAGTGGTACCTATTTATCTACTTGCACTTTGACGTGCTTTCAAACTGCTAGGTTGGCAGGAGCAGGGACCGAGCAACGGAAGCTCACTTTGTCACGGGGATTCGAACCGTCGACCTTCTGATTGGCAAGTCCTAGGCTCTGTGGTTTAACCCACAGCGCCAATAGCGCAGAGTTAAACTGTGGAGCTCACTTCCACAGGAGGCAGTCATAACCACCAAGCTAGACGGCTTTAAAGGAAGATTTGACATGTACATGGAGGAGAGGGCTATTGATGGCAGCTAGCCATGACGGCTTTGCTCTGCTTCCACAGTTGGAGGCAGCAGTGCTTCTGAATCCCAGTCGCTGGAAACATCAGGAGGGGAGAGGACTCTTGTGCCAAGTGTCCTGCTTGTGGGTTTTGCATTCAGGGAATCTGGCTGGCCACTGTTAGAATAGGATGCTGGACTAGATGGGTTATTGGCCTGACCCAGAAGACTCTCCTTATGTTCTTAGGTTCTAATGAGTAAATTGAAGTCAGTGTTGGTGCAGGCTGGTGTAATCTACACTGACTGGCAGCTCCAGATCTTTCCCAGACCGACATGGGGATGCCAGGGCTTGTGTGGCCTATTCTGGGGCCCTCTGCATGTAGAGGAAGTGCTCTGCCAGGAGGGAATGGGGCAGGTGGGAAAGAGAAATTCAGTTCAGTCTGCATTTATCAGCAAAAATTCCAGATTCATACTTTAAAAAATAAAAATGCAAACTGAAACACTGGACAAGCATGTACGACGTTACAGTCTTTTTGTCCTTTTTATTCACTCTCTCTTCTATATGTTTTATACACTTTTTTGTTTCCTTATATATATGAACAAACCAGAAACACACAACCACCCTGCAAATTTCATACTGCTCTGAATTTTGCAGTGGAGCTCTCCAGCCGAGGAATTATTTATTTGTTGCATTTGTGTCCCAACCCTTCAAGGAGCTCAGAGTGGTGCACCTCCCCATTTTATCTTCACAACCACCTTGTGAAGTAGGTTAGACAAAGAGGCAATGGCTGGCCCCCAAGCTAACCACCTAGTGAGCTTCACGGCCAAGTGCGGGGATTTGAACCCTGGCCTTTACCAGGTCCTAGTCTGGCACTCTAACCACTGGCTCTCCATATGCATATTATGAATACAAAGCATGCCTAATTATGCATATATTCATGATACTAACACACCAAAATGCATTATATAATGGGGAGATTGTGGGGGAAAATTGCACGCAAAAATATGTCTAATAGGAGAAATTCACTGCTGAATTCTCATGAGGAATAGTTTTTTTAGTTTTTAAATCGTAAACAGATGTGGAAATGCCGAGAACTGAGCTGGAAGACGAGAAGAATGAAAAATGGGAAGAAAGCGAAACAGAGAAGTTTTGCCACTCCCTATCTGCTGCTGAGTCACAGCCCTCTCCCCAAATCTCCTCTGCTTGGCTCCAGGCACAAGCTGCCACCTCCTTCTCTATCCTGGTCTCTTGCTCTCCTGGTTGTTTTTCACAGCTGCTTCCTCTGGTGAGCAGCGCCAGGTCACTGAGTCAGGAGGCCATGCTCCCTTTCTGCGGGATTTTCCCAGACAGCCTTTTGCCAGCGAGGTGTAAATAATCCAGGGCAGGCAGCGGCTCTCTTCAAAGCCGCAAACGAATCTGAAAGAAAACCCCGCAAAGCCCAGTCAACAAGCCCCTGTGTAGGAATAATAATTTGCACAGAAAGCCTTTGTTCTCCCTGCCCCCCAACCCCTTTATTTTCACTTTGGAGCCTCCGCTATGACCCCAGCGAGTAAATCAGGCTTTGTGACAATCCTGGCAGCTCCAGGAAAAAGGGAGGAACGCAGAGTCCTCTCCTGTTTCAGTCACAGAGGCCTCGTCTGCATTACACATTCCCCCAAAAACTTGGGAACTGTAGTTTGGTGCTGAGTAAGGGTGCTGAGAGTCTTTAGGAGACCCCTATTCCTCAGACAGGCCCCCAGGGTGCTGCCATTTTCCCAGTGAAATTCCCTCACATCCTAGCCAATCCGGGTTACCCAATCCATGCCCACTTTGGTGCTTTTGCGCAAGCAAACCTTGCCCTCCCAATATTTCTATGGAACTGATAAGAACATAACTATGTTCCTAGATCTCCCAAATGCCTCTGGTTGTGTCATTCTTATGACAACCGTGACGGGACATTTCCAGGAAGCAACACCTGCCACTCAGCGCCTTGGAATTTTTTAATAGACGTTCCTTAATCACAACAGATTTCTGCAGCTGATCAGATTTCTGTGGCTCGTAAAATGTTTCGACTTGCATGTTTTCCAGCTCAGTGCAGTGGCAGCCGACGCAGAGACCCAGCTTTGATTCATGGAAAAGCAAACATATCCATGTAACCGCTGCATTCTTGGTGCTTTGTGAGCAAATTGCGAAGAGCCCCAGGAGATGTTTAGTCCATGCATTTGCCAAGAATCCCTTTTCAGAGAAGAAGAAGAAGAAGAAGAAGAAGAAGAAGAAGAAGAAGAAGAAGAAGAAGAAGAGAGGGCTTGCTCCAAAATCCACCATGACGAGAAGTACCGAAATGTCCCAAAAGAACATAAGATAATCTTGGGCCAGCCAGTCTTTCACTGTGATCGAAACTGGGGCATAAACAGTTTGACTTTCCATGATGTGCAAACTAGGCCATAGCCAGTGTGGAGGAGACCAGTGGGGAGACCAGTGTAAAAATCCCCATTCAGCCATGAAGCCCTGGGCCAGGGGAGGAAGAGAACCATGTACCCCGCCTTGAGCTCCTTGGAAGAAAAGTGGAACCTAGGAAGCTGCCTTAGTATAAGTCAGACCTACTGGTCCATTGCCCTCACTGACAGGTAGCAACTCTCCAGGGGTTCAGGTAGGATCTTCTCCTAGCCCTACCTGGAGGTGTTGGGGGTGGGGTTTGAACCTGGGACCTTCTGCATGCAAGGCAGGTGCTCTGGCACTGAGCTACGCCCCCTTCTGCTCTGCCAACAGCCCGTCAGCACCCCTCTGGGCTGCCGGGGATTTTCTAGGGGAAGATAGATGAGCGCCAAGATGATGTCTGCATGGTGCTCATGGAGCTGATCTCCGAAATGGTGGATGCCCAGCATAAGCACCTGGAGAGGAAGGGGGTCTAGCCTCACACGGCTGCCTCACCTTCATTCCTAGGGAGAGAGCATCCTGACTAAGAGTGTTAAAGGGAAGAGAGGAATTTCCAGCCTGAATTTTCCCTCAGCCTGTATTGTTTTTAATATTCGGTTGGAAGCCGCCCAGAGTGGCTGGGGAAATCCAGCCAGATGGGCAGGGTATAAATAATAAATTATTATTATTATTATCATCATCATTATCATTATTATTATTATTAGCCATGACCTTGCAAGGTAGCCTGAGGCCAATCACTCTTCTCATCTGCAACAGTGTGTGTGTGTGTTTGTGTGTGGGTGTGTGTGTGGGGGGGTGATACTTCTGATCAACCTTGCAAGGCTGTTGTGAGGATTACTGAGGTAGTGTAAGGAGCATCCATTGATTGGTTTGAAAGAGCTGTCTGCATTTGGACAACCTTTAACTGAAGAATTGGTTAGAGTCGTTGTTTAAAATAAATAATAATAATAATAACAATAAAAACAAGCTAACTTATGGGGTTCAGCATCCTTCAAGACACAAACGCAGGATCAAAAAGTGACTAGCCACAACTTATGAGAGCTTTCGTCCATGCCTTTCCTTTGCTGCTCTCCAGTCTACAGCTTTGTGCTGCAACGACAAAGAAGACTTCTAGAGACAGATCATTTGTTGTGCCCCCAGAGCATGGAAACGCAAGACATGCCTATGGAACTGCATTTATGAAAAATGCGCAGTGAGGGAGGCGGCAGCAGCAATAGCTCCTCTTGACCACCAGAGATCGCTGCGGCGTCGCAGTCAGCGGTTAAACGTGCTCATCCAAGAGGTTCACTCCGATTCCTTGCCCCCATTTATTTATGTATTTCTCTATTGCGACATACTGGAATGTTATAGAAGACACCCATTGAAAAAAAGAAAAGAAATGCTAACTTTCAAATTGGCAATTGCAAGAGAGACGATTGTACAATCTTGGAAAGAAGGGAGGGTCCCTCCAAGAATGGTTTTGTTATGTCTGCAATTGGCAGAGGAGCCGACTCAACAGATGTGAGCTTCCAAGAACGGATGAATAAGAGAATGACTCTGCAGCTCAATGAGATATTCTTTTATTTAATGGATCCATTGCCGGGCGTTGGACTAGATGACCCTTGGGGTCCCTTCCAGTTCCACAATTCTATGATTCTAGGAATAACAAAGCATCCCAATCAGCCCCATGCTCACATTTCTCAAACAGGGGCATCATCTTCCTCCTCTGGAAATGACCTAAGATTCCCCCCTGCTTTTTGAAATATTTTATTAAAGCTTTGGGCATGAGGCTATACAAACCATAGTTCCCAGGGCTCTTGTGATATATGATTGCTTTTCTTTATTACATTTATAGCCCACTTCCTTCTTCGAGGAGCTCAAGGTTCTCCCCCTCCTCATTTAACCTCCACAACAACCCTGTGAGGTAGGTTAGGCTGGGAGGTGGTGACTGGCCACGAAGGTCACCCAGTGAGCATAATGGCTGAGTGGGGATTTGAACCCTGGTCTCCCAGGTTCTAGTCCAACCCTCTAACCCCTAAGCCACACTTCAGATGCATGGTATGGATGTGGCCAAATTATGGCAGTTTCTGTAGATGGAGCATCTGCAAGAGGTCTTCCTGTTTTAAGCCTCAGCATCTCTAGTCACTGCTGGAACTGAAACCCTGGAGAGCTACTGCCAGCCAGCGCAGACAATACTGAGTTAAATGGACCAGTAAGGTGCATTCCTATTCAAATCAACCATGAGGACTGGAATCTTATGTTATTCTTTGGGGAAAGGCCATAGCTCAGTAGCAGAGCACCTGCTTTGCATAGAATCATAGTTTTGTCGAGTTGGAAGGGACCCTAAGAGTCATCTAGTCCAACCCCAGGAAATTCACTGCAGAAGATCTCCCGGTTTCCATATTCAGCAACTGCAGGTCAGGCTGAGAAAGACCCTTGAGACTGAAACCATGGAGAGCTGCCTCTACCAGTCAGTGTGGGCAATACTGAGCTAGATAGACCAATGGACTCACAGCTCCCCATGTTTCTACGAGAACAGGGCATTTCCCCATGTTTCCGCTGCCAGAGGTGGCTGGCTGAGGAAGAGGAGAGCAGCCACCAAGAGCCTGCTGGTGATGCAATATCCCTTTTCCGTGGGCCATGGCCGGCGTGATTTGTGCCATGTGGCTAAATATATCCCCGGAGGAAATCAAGTATTGCACAATGACAAAAGGGGTTTTGCTCTACCCTTGGTTCCTGGCCCCGTAGAAGCAGGAAACTGTCCTCGAAAGCCGAGGCAGCAGGAGGAGGGTGGAAAAAGGAGAACCAGGAAGGCCCTTTTCGTTCTTCTCTTCCCCTTTGCTGTGACTGGGTCTGGAAAGTGGGGGCATTTTGCTTTGAAGGAGGCTTCCATAAGATGGGTCAGGTCGATGGCCTATCTAGTCCAGCATCCTCTTCTCCCAGTGGCCAACCACATGCCTCTTCTGGGAAGCCTGCAAGCAGGACCTGAGCATAGGAGCACTCTGCCCTCCTGTGGTTTCCAGCAATTGGCATTTAGAGGCATTATGGTCTCCAACTTGTGGAGGCAGAGCAGAGCCTTTGTGGCTAGTAGCTGTCGATAGCCTTAGGATCCTCCATGATACTCCTGTTTTGGTTTTAATAATTGTTTTATTTGATTTTCTAAAGGAAAGGACAGGAAGAAAGAAGGAAAGAAAGAAAGAGAAACAAGAAAGAAAAGTGATAAAGTTACCTCTAAATGTCTTACACATTCACATATTGAGATTACTCTGATTACTCAAGATTACTGACTTCCCCCCATCCCATCCATGGGTCTTCTTAATTCTATTTTCATTTGCATATCAATACTTCTCCAAAACTTCCATCTTCCTAAATTATCTGTGGTTTCTATTAGTGCATTTAAAAGCCTGCTAATGTTTCAACCTATTTGCAATGATTTAGTATATACATTATGAACATTTCCCATTCTTTTAAAAAATTCTCTTCTTCTTGATTCCTGAGCTTCCCAGTTAATTTTGCCGTTTCAGCATAGTCCATCAACTTGATCTGCCATTCTTCTTTGGTCGGGGTTGTCTCTTCCTTCCATCTCTGGGCTAGCAGCATCCGGGCGGCCAATACTCCTGTTTTTTCTGATGCTCTGAATAAACTTTAAACTTGAACCTCAGAACATGAACCTCAGATTGCAAAACTGTCTCTAGTCCTATTCACAGCATCTGTGATACCACTTGAACTTTAATGACTTCTGCCCAAAGAATCCCACAGCTTGTTCAAGATGCACAGAATAGTAGCTCTCTGTGTGGTTTGCTATCATTTCTCAGCACCCATAACAAATTACACTTCCCAGGATTTTTTGTGTGATGTCAGGACGTTTATAGAGACATCACCTTACCAACAAAGGTCCGTATAGTTAAAGCCATGGTTTTCCCAGTAGTGATGTATGGAAGTGAGAGCTGGACCATAAAGAAGGCTGATCACCGAATAATTGATGCTTTTGAATTATGGTGCTGGAGGAGACTCTTGAGAGTCCCATGGACTGCAAGAAGATCAAACGTATCCATTCTTAAGGAAATCAGCCCTGAGTGCTCACTGGAAGGACAGATCCTGAAGCTGAGGCTCCAATACTTTGGCCACCTCATGAGAAGCGAAGACTCCCTGGAAAAGACGCTGATGTTGGGAAAGGTTGAGGGCACAAGGAGAAGGGGACGACAGAGGATGAGATGGTTGGATAGTGTTCTCGAAGCTACAAACATGAGTCTGACCAAACTGCGGGAGGCAGTGGAAGACAGAAGTGCCTGGCATGCTCTGGTCCATGGGGTCACGAAGAGTCGGACACGACTAAACGACTAAACAAACAAACAAAGGATGTTTATGGTGGTGCAGGAACACTTAGAATGTATGTTGCGGACTAAAGCGTTAAAATCAAGTTGTGGAAAATGTCAGAGAACTGCCATCGGTTCAGGAGGGAGAGAGGAAAAGCCGAATGGATTATAGAGAACCCCCAGGGATCGTGGGGAGCAGTTCCTCTTCAAGGGAGGAGAGTAAACACGCCTCCAGTGGAGATGAGCTGCGGGAGTCGGAAGTGGCGAGGCGGTCCCAGGACTCCGTGCCTGGGAAAAGCGGGGAGGAGAGGGGTTCTCCACCACCCACGCCCTCCCTGCGCAGAAAGCATCCGCGCAGAGAGGGGAGGCGCAAACTGGGCGTCAAGAAACTGCTTTGCTGGGGAAAGTTTAAGAACCGCCCACTCACGGATTCTGCCAGTGATTGAGCGAGCCACAGGAGAGTGGGGCTCCGGACAGATAAGGTTTATTTTGGCAGCAAAAGCAAGGCTTCACAGCCAAGCAGGGAGATAGTTGCTTGCTTACTCTCGAGCAACCCCTTGGAAACATTACAGCAAATATGGAAGCAATGAGGAGAGGCAGGACTGAGATTTGGAGATATGCTTCAAGGTCCAGACTATGGGAAGCCCCGAAAAATTAATAATCATAATTTGGATGACAATTTGGTCTTTTTTATTTTAGTTTTTTATTTTAATTGGATTATGATTTGATATGTTAATTGGATGTTTTTTATTGGAAATTAATAAAAACGATTTAACAAAAAAATAGAATGTATGTTGTGGGCATGACCTGTATCCCCCTCCCCTTCCAAGATGGACCCAGGAGGAAGTCATGGAGCTCCTCCCCCACTTTCCAGCTCAACCCACTTCCTTTTGGGATTCCCAGAGAAAAGAAGGACTCAGCAAGAGACAGAGAGGAGACCTTTCACATCTTTATTTTTTGAAAGAACCCAGCAAGAGAACTGACCTGCCGACAGGCTCAGAACAGATAAGCAGCAATTGGTCTAAGAAGGGATACAGATGGCTGTAGCTATGTGTTCTCAAGCTCTCTTTCACTCAGTTCAGAGGGCAAAGCACTTTCCAAAAAAAAAAAAAGCTACTTAAATATGTAAATTAATGTGCATAAATCAACACATACAATTTGGTATGGAAATAAATTCATCCTGCAGCCGCACAATAGAATTCAGGCAGAGCCACGATGATTCAGGAGGAGATCCCATGCTTTGCATCTAAGAATCTCACAAGTTTAATGGCCCATTCAGCTTTTGGGTTAGCGCAGAGCTGCTTCTGGATAAGCAAAATAAACCTGTCAAGGAAAGGAGAAGCCATAAGAGCATAAGATAACCCCTAATGGCTCAGGTTCATCTCAACCAGCCTCCTGTCCTCCTAGTGGCCAAACAGATGTCTGTAGGAAACCAGCAATTGGGGTCTGAAAACGAGAGAACCACTCTAGTGGAGAAGCAGCGGCGTTGCAAAGGGGGGTGCGGGGGTGTGGTCCGCCCAGGGTGACATGCCTGGGGTGTGTGACAAAATCCCCCTGGGCGGATCACGAGTGGCATGATTGTCGTCATGAAAATCCACCCTCTGATTGCACAAATCCGCCTGGTGATCAGCCTGGCACCCCCTGGCAGGTGGCACTCGCATCCCCGTCGGGCGGTTTTATGCGATCGGCGGGCAGATTTTCACGATCGGTGGGCGGCGCTGACACCCCCAGTGGGCAGTGCTTTCAAATCCTGGCTGGCAGTGCTAGCACGGTTTCATGTGCCCATCGGTCGGATTAGCACGATCGGCGGGCATATCTGTTTTGTGGCCAACCCTCCCTAAAAGAAGCTCAACAACTCTGGGGCCTGCAATGTGTGTGTGTGTGGGGGGAGACACACAATTTTTTTGCACTGCTATCACCTGCCCTTGCTACGCCTCTGTGGAGACACATCCAGGTTCCATCTGTCAGGGCAGAGCATCGTCATCATGGCTTGGTGGCCATCAAGAGCCATCTCCTCCTTGAATTTATCTAATTCTTTTTTACGCTTTCTCTTCCACGTTGGTGGCCATATCTGCCTCCCAAGGGAAGGAGTTCCACTGTTTAATGATGTGCTTCATGAAGAAAGACTCTTTTTGTTAAGTTGTGGGTGAACATATCAGATGACACAGCGATTCTTCAAACAGCTCTTGTTTATTCACAGGCCAGAACAGAACTGAACTGAAGGGTTCAGCCAGCCTGCTTATATAGAGCTCCACTAGAACGCAACAGTAACCATTTTCTGTAACTATCCAATCACTGAACGTCACTTTTGATCCCTTATTTGCATATGTGGACCTGAACTATCTACAGTATCCCCCTGCTGGTCCAGGGTGAGAACTTCAGTACATAACACTTTTCTCTGTCCTAGGAGGACAGATGGTGTGGTCACATTATGGCCTGGTGTTATGAGAGAGGGAGACCAACAACAACAACAACAACAATTTTATTATTTACTGGCTGGGTTTCTCTACCCATTTTCTCATGCCATGCATCATTTTTATAAACTTCTGTCGTGTCACCTCTTACTTGCTTTTTCTCTGGACTAAAAAATCCCAAATGCATTTTCAATGGGCCACTGAACAAGGGCTATTTATTTCTCCACTTCTGGAACTGGTAAAACAGGCAGGCAGGTCCTCTTCCTTGTTAAAAGGCACCAGGCCCGTCCTCACCACAGATCACATGTTCTCAGCAGGGTGTAGAGAGGGGGCACAAATTCATTTTGCTCACCATTAAATGAGAGCCTGCCAGCCAAATCCCCGCTTCCCAAAGCCGCACGCCCACCTTAAACACTTGGACTTCTCTGAATTTTGGATACAGTTCTCCAATGCAGACAAAAATGTCTCTGTTAGCGAAAATAATATACAAACAAGCACTCTTTCCTGGGGAATTCACATATTTTGGAACAAAGGTGCACCAGAATGTCTGCAAATGCTGAATTTAAGATGGGAAAATAGAGAGAAACTGAAACTGAAGGATCTGCCCTTCCCTAGTGGGGAAGCAAAATCAGTCTCAGCTCCTCCTTTTCCCTCTGACCCACTCCTGATTTTCTCAATCTATCGTATCTATGATCTCCCCGCTCCCCAAACCCAGCTCCCAAATGCTTAAGTCTTTGCTTCCCATCTTTCCTGATCCCCCACCATTCGTCAACTGACACCTTGGCTTTCACCCATTCCCCAAAACTTACACCACAGAAGGCAGAGCGCATTTAGGGTCGGGGTAGAAATAATCCACTACGGCAGTGGGTCCCACACTTCCTGGATAATGGGCAGAGCAGCAGCCAGGTGGGGCATCCCGTCGAGCCTGGAGAGCTGGGGAGAGCAGGCATTGCTATTCATATTATGAAATGTGTAAGATGCCCAAGAGCTAAAGCTATGGGAGTTAATTTGCATCAAACACCCAGAGACATCACCACCCACTTGACTGGAGGATCGCACCCCTTGTCTCTCTCTGTGTGGAGGCATTTATGTTGAAAGACATCAGGGCTGGGGTCTGTGTGGGTCTTCCCTTCTGCTAGGCCTCCCTGTCTTTCTCTCAAATCCAGGGCCATATCCTTCACAGCCCTAAACATTATATCCTTCACAGCCCTAAACATTAGGGAGAACATTCAACAGTGGAATGGATTCTCTCAAAAGGTGATGGACTCTCCTTCCTCAGAGGCTTTTAAGAAGAGGTTGGGTGTCCATCCGTCAGGCACTGCAGGGGGTTGGACTTAACATGGGTGGCCAACTCCCAAGAGACTGTGATCTACTGGCAGTGATCAACCCCCTTTTGGGGAGTTCAGGTCAAAGTTGTTGAGCTTCTTTTAGGGAGGAGGAAAGCTTTGGGGAGGGGGGAAGAGCCAGTGATCTACCACATGCGTCCAGTGATCTACCGGTAGATCATGATCTACCTGTTGGACCTGCCTGGACTAGAGGACACTTGGTGGCTCCTTTCAATTCTACCCTTCTATGATTCTGTCCCTTCCTCTGGTGGCTTTTTGGGGTGGAATGCATCCTCATACTGTGATGATTATGAGAGGTTGTTTATTATTATTATTTTATGGCTGGAATGTATAGTACTGTACAAATTGAAAAGTCAGGTTGACTCACGCAGAGCTGCCACAGCAAGGAGTAAGGCAACAGTAGCCCCTGAGATCTTCATACTGTCTGGAGAGGAAGAGGAGATTTCAGGACCATTTCAGAGGCTTCCTCCGCTTCTGTGATGCTCACCACCTAAAGCTCCTCCACCTCTCCTTTGAGATGCTGTTCCCAGCTCTGACCCAATACCAGACACTGAGTTCTCAGAGGACAACCAGGACACAGATCCAGGAGCAGGCAGGGTCCCCTCTGAACAAATGCTAAGGAACCTCTTCACAGGCCTTCCAGGCTGAGAGACCTGCTTAAAAAGCCCTGGAGCTGTCAGAGGAGGAGGTTGCAGGGAGTTGGGCTAGATGCCCTGTGGGTAACCCTTCTAACTGTACAATTCTATGATTCTATGAATCTCTCCCTCTCTCCCCCTCCCTTGGTCCTTCAGAAGGCCACGGCTGAGCCGAAAAGCAACAGCACAGCATGCATATCCAAGTCACCATGGAACACTTGAGTAAAAGGGGCCTTCTCATGAGTAAGCAGCCTACTCATGAGTAAGCAATCCCTGGAACTCCTCTGCTAGCAGTTGTGGTTTGGTGTGGTCTAGGAGGCCAGAGTCTAAACTGTATTCCGCTTTAGCCTTTCAGTTGCTGGGAGAAATTCAGGTCTTTGATGTTTTCCTGAAGGGCAATTTATTGCAAGAGTCTTTTTTCTGCAGGGTGGAATCATTTTATAGGGAAGTTTCCTATACAGGGAAGTTTTCAGTCTTTGATAGCTTACTGTGTTTTAATTTGTTGGCAGCTGCCTAGAGTGACTGGTGCAACCCAGTCAGATGGGTTGCATATAAACAAACAAACAAACAAACAAACAATAATTATTTCTACTGCCAATCAGGCTTATACAGTGACGTCCTCTGTTCATCTGACTTTTGGCCTCCCCATCTGGATCTTAGGGTTTAATTAACTAATTAACTAATTTTCAGAATTTATATACTGCTTTTTGTTATCAAAAAATACCAGAGTGGTTCACATCATAAAACATGACAGTAATCTCTAAAAAAAGAGTACTTAGAGTGAAAACAGCAAAGGCCCCAAAGGCAACAGGGAACCTTTACTAGCAGTTGGTAAAAGGCTGGGTAAACAAACAGGTGTTTCATTGATGGTGAAAACACTACTGTTGGTGACCTCCAACTCTCAATAGGGAGAGTATTTCACATGGTGGGTCTCCTATGAAATGGCTTAGTTCCCAGGTGGCAGGAGCTTAGTCTGGGTCCCTTAGAAAGCTACTGGGTTTGTCACCCTGTGTGAGAAAGCAGAGATCTACCTGGAAGCCAGTATCTGATCAGTTGAATGCAAAGCTTGGATGAATGCCCTCAAGTGATGGCTATTCTTTGCATCCCAGGACAGTCCCACATAGAAAGGATTGGCTTGCCTGCCTCATTTTCATTCCAGACCTTCCATAATTCTGTTCTGAATTTCCTGAGTTCACTGTGTTCCTCTTCTCAGAATACTTCCCACTTACATTGTAACTGCCTCCTTCTCCAAGGTCAGTTTTTGGAACAAACTCCTTTGCTACAGAGTCCTCCTACCTTTCACCTTCAAAGCCAGTTGCTCTCAGTGCTGCGCTGAACCTCTGTCTCCTCCTCCAATTGCATCTTCCCCTTATAGATAGGCAGGAGAGGGCAGGGCCTGCACCCACTCCAACCCACATCCTATCACAATTCCTATGCATGCTTGATCCTTGGTTAAGGAGGTCACAAAATGGGATTGGCCAGCTGGGTTGAGAAGACAATTAATGGCGCCTTGTGAGAGGTGGTCAGTCTCAGCTGCCTTGAACCATAGAACCAACTCTTGAACCACAGAGTTGAAAGGGACCCCTTGCAATGTGGGAATTACAGCTAAACAATCCCTGACAGGTGACCATCCACCTCAGTCTAAAAACCTCCAGCAAAGGAGAGTCCACCACCTTCCAAAGTCATCTGTCTCACTGTCAAACAGCTTTTGAAAAGATATATATAGATCAAGATTAAGGATTAGGATTAAAAAAGTTAAAAGAAATGGAAAATTGGCTTTTAATAGGTTAAAATTTAAGGTTATATTATATTAAGATTAAGGTTTGGGATTAAAAAAGAGGGAAAGAAATTGCTGGACAAACAAATTGAACTGGAATACAAAAGAAGGAGGTATGAGGAGGTCCAGAAAATAAGTAAATTTAAAAGTGGTGACGAAAAGGTGGCATTGTTTTTAACTGTTTTCTTTTTTCTATTTTTTGTTTTTTGTATTGTGTATTGTGTATTTTTGTATTGTGTATTTTTCTTTTTTACTTTTAATTCTTTTTTACCGATGTGTCTTTTTTTATTGGAAACTTTAATAAATATCATTTAAAAAATAATAATAAAGTTCTTCCTAGCGTTTAGTTGGAATCGCCATTCTTGTCATTTGAATCCATTGGTTCTGCTCCCACCCTCTGGAGCAGGAGGAAACGAGTTTCCTCCATCTTCTGTGTGACAGCCCTTCAGATATTTGAAGATAACTTTCACCTTTCCATCTTCTCCAGGCTGAACATACCCAACTCCCTGTGGCCATTCCTTAATTTTTTTAAATAAGGAATGGGGAAAATTTATAACTTATCTTAAAGACCATTGTAAACAGTTAAAATCGTTAGTAGGATTGGAATATCACTTGTAGTTTAAGGGTGAATTCTGGATACCATGGAGATGCAAAAGATCTGGACTACCATAAAAGATGAGGAAGGAAATGATAAATAACAGGACCTACAAAGGGGAGGATGGAAGTCCAGGGGATTCATTGGAATCTTGTTTTGATGATTTATGTTTTATATATCTCTGTAAAATTTTAATTTGAAAAACCAAATAAATAAATTTATTTAAAAAATAAAAAAATTACAATAGGTTGCAATAACTATCAACCAGTGACACTCTTTAAGGCCAAGGTACTCAAGGGAGTGGGTGATAGACAATCCCCAAAAAAGTGGGAATAAAAGGAATGTCTTGTTCTTGATAAGAAGAATCCAATAGCCCACAGTCAGGCAATAACTTTATCAAGACCAATCAAAATGTCACAGAACAGTAAGCAAGACTTGGGGTTTTCCTCCTATGCTCCCTCTTCAGGCTTCATGGATTCTGCAGAAAGGGACATGTTCAACTCTCTGGCCACTGGGCCGAAGCCATGGGTTTGTTCCTGGTACAAGGAGCTCCAGAGCCTCAAACAATGAGTTTGTTCCATTGAGGTCAAAGTGGCTTTCCTGTTACGAAGTAATCAGAATTTGAAGATAGAGAATGGGCCTGTTTGTGTGCAAGAAATGGGATCTATCCACTAGATCACATATTGCTTTTCTACGTTGCAGTTCAAATATCACCACTGAGGGCTGAATGGCCATGTCTTTAAATACAGCACCTCCTGATGTCTGTTTATAGATCATCTGCTTTGAGGACTTCAGCTGGAGGAAATAAATTGATCTTCACAGAAAGCTGGACCCATAACCATTCATAGATGCTTTGTATATTTTTGGAAGGTGGATGTTCAGGAACTTAGAGAGGAGTGGAATCTGGAGTTCAAATGTGCCAAACAAACTATGCAAGGGGAAATTGCTTTTAGAATATGTACAGAACATTTTACCTTCCGTAGTTGGAGGAAGACAGATGATGCAAGCCATACCACCAACTTCTGCATTGAATTCCCTTTTGCTGTACAGCTCATGGTTCCCCTCCACAACCCAGCCCAAAACCAAAACCTAGCCTGTCCAATTAAATACAATAACTATCAACCAACCACACATTTTGGGGGCAAGGTACTGAAGGGAGTGTGTGGCAGTCCCTAAAAAAGTGGTGTTGTGGGAATGAAAGGGACCTCTTGTTGTTCTTGATAAGAAGGATCCAATAGCCCACAGTAAGGCAATAATTTTATCAAGACCAATCAAAATGTCACAGAACAGTAAGCAAGACTTGGGATTTTCCTTCTATGCCCCTTCTTCAGGCTTCATGGATTCTGCAGAAAGGGATATGTCCAACTCTCTGGCCCCTGGACTGAAGCTATGGGTTTGTTCCTGGTACAAGCAGCTCCTGGCCCTCAGGGAAATGTGTTTGTTTCCTTGATTTCAGAGTGGCTGACCTGTGATGAGGGCATCTGATTTTGAAGATGAAGAGCCTGTTAGTATGCAATAAATTGATTGAGTGTGGGATCTAGATCAAATTTTGCTTTTTCTATATTGCAGCTCAAATATCATTTACTGGAAAGTGCTGAACGGCCAAATATCACACCTCTTGGTGATTGCTTATTGATTGTCTGCTTTGGGGGTTTTGAATGGGGGTAATTATTGGATTTATTTTTATTAATTGATTGAATTTATATACCACCCTGTACCTGGAGGTCTCAGAGCGGTTCACAGAATAAAATCAAATATCAAACCCATTCCATCATCAAATGTGTTAAATTAACTCTAAACCCCTCCCTCCCTTTTCTGGTCCAACCCACATCATTTTGGGATTTTCAGCAAAGAGAAGGACACAGCAAAAGACAGAAATGAAGCCCATCACATATTTATTTTAGAAAGAAGCCAGTAGGAGAACTGATTTGCTGACATGCTCAGAACAGAGAAGGGGAAGGTGGTCTAAGCAATGATATAGGAGGCTAGACTTGGGTTTTCTCAAGTTCACTTTGTTCAATGCAGAGGGCAAAGCATTTGCAATAAAAAAAGTACTTAAAGATGTAAATCAACACGTACAATGAGACAGGGAACTGGATCTGTTTCGGAGCCACAGTCTGGAAAACAACAAGGTGGTTTTTCAGAGTTTCTGGTAGGGTAGTAGATGGCTGTTTGCACGAACAGAAACCCCCAAACAGTGTATACATAAGCTCCAACAGTTCCCAAGAAGAAATAGGGACACCCCACCCACCATCCTGCTGCCGCTCGCACCCTCCTGCCACCACTCGCTTGGCTGCCACCTTACCAGCTCATGTGTGTGTGCTCCTGCCAATGTCTGCCACCATTCATCACTGCTCACCCTTGTGCTGGTGGGGGCTGCTTGCCTCGCATCACATGCACAAGGAGGGCCACAGTGCCTTACTTCCAGAAGCAGCACTGTTCTTCAGGAAGCTGTGGCCCTCCTCATTTGCCTGTGGTGGGCAGCAACTGACCAGCAAGCAAAGGTGTGGAACCTAAACACATGTCTTTTGGTTCCCCTTGGCTGAAATCCTAGGACATCCCAGGATGGAATCAGAAGCTGGGGCAGTTTCTGCAATTCTGGAATGTCCCGGTAAAGACAGGACAGTTGTGCGTCATGGTGTCTGTTGTACCAAGGTAAGAAAGGGACACCTGTCAACTTCAGAGCGAGAAATGTCCCTATTTTCATCTGAGGAACGTTGGAGGGTATGGTTTAAAGTGGTATGATCCTGGTTTAAATGCATAGTGCTGACAGGGCCTAAGACTCTGTTCGGTGTGAAGGGGCCAAAACTTTGGGGAAGTGGGGAGTGAGGGAGAGAGAGAGGGAGAAAGTTAGTCCAGCAAAGCAGCCATGGTGTTGCTGAGGCTCAGGGTAGCTTCTCCTAGGAAGGGCTCTGCAATTGGTGCCAGTTTCAGCTGCAGGGATCTTCAAGGCTGTCTATGTAATCCATGAGTTCATGGACCCATGGCTGATCCGGGTCAGCACACCTGAATTTACCATGCTTGAGATGAAACCTGTCAGAGAAAGTAGCAAGCACCCACAGTCGGCCACTGAGTATACCCTTTTAATTCTCCATTAGCCCAAGGACCCCACTTTAATTGGGTAGTCCACCTGCCACAATGCAAGGCACCGAGATGGGGCAGAAATTTGTTCTGCTCACACCTGAATGCCCACCTACACAATTCCCACTTCCCAAACCAGTATGCCTGCTGGAACACAGCTTGCTTTCAAAAATTGCTCTGAATTTTTCCATATATTTCTCCCATTAAAGAATGGACACAAAATATCTGTATTAGTGAAAACGATGTTCCAAACACACACTCTGTGCTGAGGGATTTGCTTGCCCAAAATGCATATATAACTGAATGAAACCGTAACAACAAAACCAGTCTCAGCTAATGAAGCTGCCTTTTGATGAGTCAGACCATTGCTCCATCTAGCTCAGTAATGTCTACCTGACTGGCAGGAACTCTCCAGCATTTTCACACAGGGGTCTTTCCTAGCCCTACTGTAGATGCTGTTGGGGATTGAAGCTGGACCTTCTGTATGCCAAGCAGATGCTCTTACCACTGAGCTAATTCCTGCTCTTCCCTCCGACCCCCTAATTATCTCATTCTCTATTCTGGCTTCTCTGCTGCCTTCCCCTTCCAAACAAACAAACAAACAAACGGCCCCCAAATGCCTAACCCTTTGTTCACCATGTTTCTTCAACCCCTTCCCTGCCAATTGGCCAACAGCCCTCCTGCCTTTTGCCCGTTCCCAAAAACTCACTCCACAGAACGCAGGCAGTAAGGCCAGCTGAGGGCATAATCCTCGACTTCACTCTTTGGGATTGGAACTTTAGAGTTGCTTAGGCAGCAGCCGGGAGCGGGAGTCCGCCGACTTGTAAAGGCTGAGAAGAGCAAACATCATGGTTGAGTTACCAGACATATTAGGTCCTGAACAGTGATCACACTGGCAGATCTATTTCATAAGATTTATGCACTAATTGGTTGTAAAAAGAAAACAAACAAGCCCTCAAAGCTCTTTACAAAAAGGGATAAAGCAATAAAACGATCAATTTTAAAAATGAATAACAATTTAATTATTTTAAAAAGTTAAAACAACAACACATTACAAACGGATTTAAAACTCGTATCAAGTTTTGGCCGGGCTTGTCTAAACAAAAATTATTTTTGCAGGCGCCCAAAAGAGTACAGTGAAGGCGCCTGCCTGATATAATCTGATCTGATTCCTGCTCCATCTGACCTCCATCCCCCAGGACCATCAAGCCCATGGAACGAACACGATCAACTCTGGTGTGAGTCCCAAATCTCCTAGAACAATTATCAAGGGAGAGGAGAGGAATCAACTCACGTGGAGTAGCCAGGAGAAGGAGGAAAGTGACGGCAGCTCCAGAGATCTTCATGCTGCCTGGAGAGGAAGAGGAGATTTCAGGACCTTTCCAGGAGCAACCTGGGCTTCTGTGATGCTCAACACCTAAAGCTCCTCCTGGGGTCCCTTTGCATACCACCCCCAACCCCAGTCTGGTTCCAGACACAGAGTCCCCAAAGAACAAACAGGACACCCACAGGTCCAGGATCAGGAACATTCCTGTGAAATCAGTGCTGAGGATGCCCTTGAGGGGGACCCTCTGGGTTGATGAAGACCCCCAGAGCTATCAGTGGAAGAAGAGAGTCCCCCCACCGCAGTCCTTGAGAATTCTGGCACCAAAAGGTTCAGGTCCAGGCCAAGGAGCAACAACATACAATAATAGAATTATAGAGTTGGGAGGGATCCCAAGATTCACCTTGTCCATCCCCTTGCAATGCAAGAACCACAGGATCCCAGAAAGATGGCCACCTAACCTCTGTTTAAGGACCTCCAGTGAAGGAGAGCCCACTGCTTTCTAAGGGAGTCTGTTCCACCATCAAACATATAAAGGATTGGGCTTGTCTACTACTTTTTAGCTATAGATCTTTCACAATTCTGTCCTGTATATCTGGAGGTCCCCTCGCTTTCTCTCTTACCTGGTACGGGTAATCACCTCCTTCTCCAAGTTCAGTTTTAGGGGTCTGGTGTGCTACAGATTTGTCCCACCTTTCACCATCAAAGTCAGTTGTGTTGAGCCTCTGTCTCCTTCCCCAGCCACACCTTCCTCATACAGGTACCATTATCAAAACCAATCAAAATGTCACAGAACAGTAAGCAGGCCTTGGGATTTTCCTCCTTCCTTCCTTCCTTCCTTCCTTCCTTCCTTCCTCCTCTTCAGACTTTGTGGATTCTGCAGAAAGGGACATGTCCAACTCTCTGGCCATTGGACTGAAGCTGTGGGTGTGTTCCTGGTACAAGGAGCCCCAGACCCTTAAGCAATGAGTTTGTTCCCTTGAGGTCAATGAAGCTTGCCTGTTACAAAGCAATCTCAGCCTGTCTGTGTGCAAGAAATGGGCTGATCGGTCCATTAGACTAGATCATATATTGCTTTATCTGTGTTGCAGGTGAATGCTCAATGGCCATGTCTTTAACTACAGCACCTCCTGGTGTCCGTTTATACATTGTCTGCTTTGAGGACTTCAGCTGGAGGGAATAAATTGATCTTCATAGAAAGCAGAAAGCATTTGCCTTTTGAGGGAGAGGCAGGGATCTTGAAACACCCTCCCGTTGAAATTTTGTCTATTTCAAGTGGAGATGAATGGCTTAAATTGTTTTTTAATGCTTAAATTCATGTACTGATGGTTTTTCTACTCTCAGTGTGAACTGCTGAGGTTAACTTCTTTGATTTGCTTTTCCTGTCTTTCTCATTTCTTTGTTAAATGTGTTCAAGCAATTCTAGGGCCCTGCCGCCTCCCTTTTCTGGCCCATCCCGCTTCGCTTTGGGATTGCCAGGGAAGAGAAGGATTCAGCAGAGATGAAGCTCATTGCCTATTTATTTTTAGAAGCCAGCAGAAGAACTGAGGACCCTCTGATGTGTAAATTAACACACCAAAGAAGTATGGAACTGGATCTATCCTGCAGCCACATATTGGAAACCAACAAGGTCATACCCTCCGACATTTTGTGACAAAAATTTGGGATGCCAGGGCACCCCCAAACCACCACCCCATCTCCATCGCTCACCCCTCCCCTATATTTCCATTGCTGTTTTCAGGCTCCTGCTCACAAGACGGTGCATCTCCAGACGCAGCACGGCCTGTAGCAGCCTCTGGAAAGTCACTGCAGCCCACGCCATGCTAGGAGACGCCATGCAGCCTAGAGCAACCTCTGGGAAGATGGAGCCTGTGCTGCATCTGGAAAATCAGGGCATCCCAGATTGGGATCAGAAACCAGGGCAGCTTCTGTCCATTTGGGATGTCCCGACTAAATCAGGACTCTTGAGGGGTATGCAAGGTGGTTTGTAAAAGCTGCTGGTAAGTAGATGGTGCTTTGCATGAACAGAAACTCCAAAACATTATATATTGTAGCAAGGTAGGAAAGGCACACTTGCCAACTTCAGAGGCCACTTTCCGGGAGAGTCTTTCATAGAAGCCAGGCTGGCTGCTCTCACTTTGCTGCCCTGATGGCCTTAGAGTCTCAGAGTTAAATGAAGCACCAGGTTTTAAAAATCTCTGCTCTCTGCCTTCAAGAAAAGCTAGTGGAAATGTCAACTGAGAATCCTGTAACCCTGCTTAGACTGTTAGAATTCCTGCTCCATGTTTGCAGTCATGGGATTTTTGTCTATCACATGACGGTGTATGTTTTGACTCCACAGAGTGGGAAGTGACGGAGACAGGATGTTTGTGTTACTGTACTCCGTGAAGTGGGACTATTGTCCATTGTTCTTTCTCTTTGCTGTCTGATGCTAGAGAGAGAGGGAGCCATGTTGCAGTGCTCTCTGTGTGTTTTATATGTAAATAAAGTAGATTAGCCAAAATGCTGAGTTGCTGAGGTCTGTTACGCAAGCTGGGAAGACTCTGCGGTTCCCTAAGTGTGCTGGTGTCTGTTGGCATCAGTCGCTGTGATGTTTGGGCAGAAGAAAGCTTTTGAAGCTCCCGAACAATCGACCAGGAAGGAGGGAACATGCCAGTCGGGCATGTGTCTCTGCCAGGGTCCTACTCGAGTGTAGGCTGAGCTCCTGACATAGACTACCTGCTCTTTCTTTTCTATAAAGACATCTTTTCTATAAACACAAGCCAGCATTCCTGTTGGATTCTTCCAAATATAAATATGTGATGGGCTTTATTTCAGTCTCTGCCTTTATCTCTTTCCCCCTTTTGGACTTTAGGGTGCGAGGCAGGGGGCAGGTCAGTTCTCGAAGCAGGAGGGAGATATACTGGCAGTTCTGGTTCAAGGTGAAGCTTTAGCTAAATGGCTAAAGAAGAACATCCATGCTTTGTCTGGTTGGCACAAGACACAAGCCAGCTCTTTCAGAGAGACAAAGAGTGTACTATATTGTTCTGGTCGCCTCACCTCAGAAAGGAGTTGGAAAGTTTCAGAAAAGGACAACCTGATAGAAGTTTATAAAATCACACACATCATGGGGAAAGTGGATGGATAAAAGTTTTCCTCCCTCTCTCCTGACACCAGAACTCATGAACATCCAATGAATGTTGGAAGATTCAGGACAGCTAAAATGACTACTTCACACAGCGTATAGTTAAATTATGGAATGTGCTTCCACAGGAAGCAGTGATGGCCACCAACTTAAATGGCTTTCAAAGAGGATTAGAGAAATTCACGAAGGAGGAGAGGGCTATCGATGGCTACCAGCAATGATAATGGTCATTATTTATATGCCGCCCATCTGACTGGGTTGCCCCAGCCACTCTGGCAGCTCACAACAAAAAATAGTAAAAGTACAACACAACATCACACACTAAAAACTATACTCAGCCTCCCTAGTTGGGGAAAGCAATGCTTCTGAAAACCAGTTGCTGCAAGCCATGTGTGTGTGTGTGGGAGGGGGAGGAGTGCTCATGTGCTTGAATCCTGCTTCCTGGTTTCCCATAATGGGCAATTGGTTGGCCACTGTGAGAAGAGGAGGCTGGACAAGATGAGCTGCTGGCGTGATCCAGCAGGCACCTCTTGCAGTATGTGATTATGTTTTAGAGAGAAATCCACTGGGGCCAACTGGGCGGTGGCGGTGGGGTAGGAAGCGGTGATGTGGCCTTAAGAAGTACCTCCTTGGGTACTGAAGCTCAAGCAACCACACTCTTTTTGGACAGGTTAGCCAGGGAGCAAGGCCAATCACATAGCCTTCAACATTCCTCAGATGAAAATAGGGACATTTCTTGCTCCCCGCCATTTCTTGCTGACCCTCCTTGACCCACCATTTTTTGGTCCTTCCCTGCAGAACATTTCCTATCCGAAGAAGGGCAAGTGCCACCAACACCACACCAAGGTGACACAGCACACACACCCTCCGCTGTCCTGAAAAAAATCCCTATTTCATTTCATTTCATGGTAGATTTACAAAAAAGCAAAACACACAGCCATAAATAAATTTTAGAAAGGGGCAAGACATGCGCTCCACTCTGCTCCGCTCCCCCTTTCTTCCCACCCAGGGCAGCCCTGCCCTCTGTCTGCCCCACAGAGCTCATGGGTCATGTGGGGCTGGGACTCAGTGGCAGTGGCCTCTCCTCCGACTTGCCCACTTTCCAGCAGCTGCTTCGAGCTGCCCAAGGGAGTGGAAACAGGGATGTTCCAGGATTAAATCAGAAGCTGGTATGGCTTTCATAATTCTGGGACTTTCCCTGGAAAATTGGGACAGTTGGAAGGTATCTAATCCAAATGTCACAAAATAATGAGTAAGGTTTAGAATTCTGCTCCTACACTCCCTCTGAAGACTGCCCACTATGTGGATCCTGCAGAAAGTGACACGCCCGACTCTCTGCCTGCTGGACATTGCTTTGGGGGTGTACTGGCCCTCAGAAAATGACTTTGTTCCCTTGAGATCAAGTTGGCTGACCTGGAGAAGCTGGGGGCCACTCCAGACACTGGATTTGTTATTTTTAGTTTTGATAGTGCTAATCAGCCAGGACAGAACGTTCTTCCAACAACCTTTTGTCTACTTGATGCTGGCTGGTTTCCTACAGGCATCCGGTTGTCTTATGTTCTTATGGTGTTGTCCATTCAAAGGCCTTTATGGCTTGGAACCCCGGGACCTGTAGAACTCCCTGCTCCCAAATCAGCCTACTCAGATCTTAAGGTCCTCCATCACCATCAGAGATCAGAGATACAACAAAGGGGTTCTCTACATTGTTTTCTTTCATCATGCAAGTCACACCATTTTAACATGCAATTTTAGAATGTAAAATTATTTTTAAATCGCAGGGTTTTAAAATATCTGAAACAGGAATGTAAATGTTTTTTAAATCTTTGTGATTTGTAAAACAAGCAGATCTTTTATATTCTTCATTGTAAGCAGCTCGGGGGTTTTTTCTGTCAAGTCTCTAAGCTTCTAGTTAGGTTAATGATTAACTGTTGATGTTCTCTGCTCTTACAAGTGAGTGATTAACCTTAGATCACATGATTAAGGTATTGAATTGCAAATTGCCATTTTGAAGGGAGCTGTGTTTAGTGGGGGTTTTTTGTTCCAAGACACAGTGGGAGAAATATGTGGAAATGAGTCTCTCTGGAAGAGAATAAAGCTCCAGGCTAATGGATACTGTACGAAGAGAGACTTTTGATTCTAGGCCTGTTCGGAGTTGTATTTCTAAGATGATGCTGAGCCTATGCTTGGACAACCATATGTCTTATAGAACGCTTTGGATGTATTATTGATTTCTTTTTGTATCTGTTTTGAAGAGGTTCTGGTTAGTTAAGCTTTGAATCATATTTATGGGTCTGGACAATGTTTATTTCAAAATGAGTCAGTTTTTTAATGCATCCAGTTGCTTCAAGCTGTGCAATATTAATAACTGCAACATTACCCTCCTGGTCTGGGATTGACCTGCCTCTCCCCTCCCACCCTTTCCCAGTCCAACCCACCTCACTGTGGGATTACCAGAGAGGAAAAAGACTCAGAGAGACACAAAGCAGTTTGCATCTTTATTTTTGGAAGCCAACAGGAGAACTGATCTGCAAGCATACTCAGAGCAGAGGAAGGGCAGGTAGTCAAAGCAGGTATACAATATGAAGCAGTTATATGTTCACAAGCTGTTTTTCATCAATGTAGAAGCAAAAATGTTTTTTGGGTAGACCTGGTAGTTAGCATGTAAATCACATGCATTAAGGGGTATGGAACTAGATTTGTCCTGCACTACATGATGGTCTTTCAATACTGCTTGTAAATAGACAATTGTTTGCATGAGAAGAACCCCTGAAACAACGTCAATTGTGCCAGGCAAGTACACTTAACTAAGAAAAGGGCATTTGATAAGTTCAGAGATCACTGCTGGCTGCTCTCAAATCACTCCCTTGATAGCCACAGAGACCATTGGATGAAGACTCTATTCAGCCATTAAGGAGTCATAATTTTTTCTGAAGGTGGAGAGAGATAGGCAGAAAGGAAGTTCACCAAAACAGCAAAGAAGTTGTTGAGGTTCAGGAGTTCCTTTTCCTTCTGAGGGGTCTCTAGTTGCCAGGAGAAGGACGTTCATACAACTTATCCACATGTGCCACAAGATCATGCACCCATTCATCGTCTGGATTAGCACAGCCGAACTTACCATTCTTGAATTTGAATCTGTCAGGGGGGAAAGCAGGCATTTACAATGTGCTACAGAGAGGACCAGATTTTGAATGGTGCCATTGCATTTGGTGCCAAGACTCCGAGCTTTCATTTTTCAAACGTCCTGCCATTGTAGGGAGGTGTAAAGGGTGGTGGCGGGGGAGGGGGGAGGGAGAGAAATTAATTTGCTCCCCAACTTAATGTGTACCTATCAAATTCACACTTCCAAATCCAATGCAAGATGTGGCTTGCCTCCAAAATTTCATGTTTCTCTGAATTTTGCCATTCAGTTTTTCAGCAAATTGGAGCATGCAGGGATGTACTCATTGGGAAAAATCAGGTGCAAAAATACTTCCTGTTGTGGGGAAGCAGCTTGCAGAAATGCACGTAGATTAGAAGACCTTCATTTAAATTGGGCAAACTGAACATAACTGCAAAACCAGGCAAATGTGAAATGGAGAGTTTCATCCATCCCTAGTTGGGCATCGTAGCAGATCCCATGGGAACACAAGAACATCAGAAGAGACTTGCTGGATCAGGCCAATGCCCCATCTAGTCCAGCTTCCTGCTCTCACAGTGGCCAACCAGATCCCCGTGAGAAACCAGCAAGGAGAATGTGAGCAGCAGCCCCCTCTCCCCTCCTGTGATTTCCAGCAACTGGTATTCAGAGGCATTGCTGCCTCCGACTGTAGGGGCAGCCCATAGCCTTCATGGCTGCCAGCCATCGATATTGCTCCATGAATTTGTCTAATCCACTTTTAAAGCCATCCAAGCTGGTGGCCTTCACTGCCACCTGGGGGAATGAGTTTCATATTTAGACTTTCTGCTATACTAAGAAGTCCTTTATTTGATCTGCCCTGAGTCTCCCAACATTCAATTTCAGGGAATGTGCACAATTTCTAGTGTTATGAAAGAGGAAGGAAAGCATTTATTCTTTCCACTTTCACCATGCCAGTCATAATTTTTTGAACTTCCATCATGTTACCTCTTACCTTTACTAAAACTCCTGAATGTTTTTCAAAGTGGAGTCACTTCCTGCTCCAAGGTGAGAATTTCTCCCTATCTTTCTGATTTTCTGTCTCTCTTCTGCATCCCTTCCCCCAACCTCAGAACTGGCCTCCAAAGCCTTAAGCGTCCCATCAGCTCTCTTCACCCACAGTGTTGAAGCATCCTTAACCAAGTGTTCTCTCAGCTTTGACCCAGCACCAGAAACTTACACTATAGCATCCCTCTTGCATGGATAGGTGAGGTACGAATAGTCCTTTATCTGGTGCTTTGGGAATGGTTTCTTGGCATATGTGGCACAGCAGGAAATTTTGGATACCACAGCTGTTGAAAGCAGGAGAAGGCAGGCACTGTTATTTATTGACTGCTTTTGTTGGATACTTAATAGCTCTTGCTCGGGGAGGTGAGTTGCATTGGTCAACTTGAAGCATCACTGGACACTCCCTCCCCCTTGCCTCTGCAGGGAGGACTTTAAGTTGAACAAGCTGGAAAGGGGAGCCTCAAGCCTTTGGTTGAAATGCTGACTCCACTCCCCCCGCCAAGCCTCTTTATCTCCCTCCCCCCAGACTTCCCCTGGCCCTTAAAAAATAATAATAATACATTTTACAGTTTATAGACTCCCACTGGTTTTGCAGTGCTTCCTCACTGACAGTGGACAGAGGTGGATGTAGGGGAGCATGGTCTCAGTGGGCACTGCTGAGAACGCCACAATTATGATTTACAATGGAGCATGAGAGGCAAGGGGGCACAGAATTTTGGCGTTGCGCAGGGTGCTGCTGAAATCTGAGACTCCAGTGTCTGCCACTGCAGTGGAGCAGACTTCCTTGGAAGGTGTAGGAGTCTGCTTTGCTGGAGGCTTTTGAGCTCAGGTCACCTGTCAGGGATTCTTGAGCTGCTATTTCTGCACTGAAGGGGTTGGAGAAGATGGCACCTGAGGTCCCATCCACTTCTATGATCCTATGCTGAAAAACAGGGGAGGGGAGCCTCAAGTTGTGGGTCGGAATGCAGAGCACCCTCCATGGGCCTTGCCTCTCCTTAGTCCTCCTCTGCCCCTCCTTTGAGTGGTTGTGCCTGGCTGGAAAGCACCCTTGCTGTGGAATGGGAGAGAGAATTGAGGGCCGGGCTAAAACCACAACACCTCTTCCTTTCCCTCCTGCTTGGAATTCATGGGTTATATCAGTTGCTCTGCCTCACTTTTGCGGGTGGCTACATTTGGTGCCACTGGACATGCGGCCCCAGGAAGGTGGCCAACAAGGGAAGACCCCCCCCCATCTGAAAGTGGTTTCCCATCTCGCCTTAAAAGTTTTCAGTGCCAATCCTTCAGTGGGACCCAGGGGCAGGACCCATGGGAATGGAGCAGGGGTGGGTCTGAGTCAGACGGGAGCACCCTAAGTCCACCAGGGCCCAGGGAGTGGCATGACACCCTTCAGTGGGAGTCCCAACTCTGGTAAGACAACTACCAGGGGAGAGGAAAGGATTGGACTCACATGGAATAGCCACAAGAAGGAGGAAGATGAGGGCAGCCCCAGAGGTCTTCATGCTGCCTGGAGAGGAAGAACAGATTTAAGGACCATTCCTGGGACTCTCAGCTTCCATGATGCTAACCTACTAAAGCTTCTTCAACTCTCTTCCCAGCCCCAAAATGATACCAGATACAGAGTCCTCAGAGGACAAAGAGGACACCCCACAGGTTGAGGCCACCGAGAAGCAGGCAGGGTCCCCTGAAACCTGGGGATGTCCTTGTTGAAATGAGCTCCTGGCTCTCAGGGAATGTGTTTGCTCCCCTGAGTCCAAAGTGGCTGATCTGGAGAAGCTGAGGACCCCTTCACACTGGGAGTTTCTTGCTGGTACCTTCCTTGGTCTGTTCCTAACACAAGAATAGCCCAGCCCAAGCAGGATTTATCCTGCTTGATTAGTTTTTTCTTCAATGCTTCCCCAATGCTAACGTGCTATTGCTATCTGTGTTGGGAGGGGGGAGAGATAGGAGGGATTTTGGGGCAGCACATTATTCTTTTCAGTCCTTCTGGCTCCCCTTCAGTGTAAGATCTTTGGGCTAAACTACCCTCAGAGATTGTGAAGCTCTTCTCATTCACTGGGAGGTCACAAAGGGTCCTCTATTCCTCCCAGAGGAAGTTCAAGGCTCTTCTCGTCACAAGGTAACCCCACATAGAAAGGCTTGGGTTTGTTTGCCTCTCTTTAGTTCCAGACCTTCCGCAATTCTGTCCTGTATTCATGGGGTTCCCTTCACTTTCCATCTTACCTTGTAGTCTCCTCTTCTTCCAAGGTGAATTTTTGGATCTGCTATGCCAGAGATTCCTCCTCCCTTTCTCCTTCAAGTCAGTTGCTCTCAGTGCTGCACGGATCTCCCGTCTGCCTCTACAGCTGAACCTTGTTCTTGTTGATGGGGAGGGAGGAGAAGGACATGCACATACCTCAGCCCACTCTCTTCCCAACCCTCTTGGATGTTTGATATTTATCTTCCTTGGCTACTGGGCTTGCAAAAGGGGATTGGACAACTGGGTCCAGGAGGTGAGTGAGAAGAAGGCTGGTCCCTGTTGCCTTGAAGGAAGCAGTGAAACCCTGAAGGTTGCAATAACTACTGGTCAAACATGTTCTTTTGGGGAAAGGTACTGAAAGGATGCGGGTGGCTCTGTAGTCTAAACCACTGAGCCTTGGACTTGCCAATTGGAAGGTCATCGGTTCGAATCCCTGTGACAGGGTGAGCTCCCATTGCTCGGTCCCTGCTCCTGTCAACCTAGCAGTTCAAAAGCTCGTCAAAGTGCAAGTAGATAAATAGGTACCGCTCTGGGGGGAAGGTAAACGGTGTTTCCATGCGTTGCTCTGGTTAAACCAGAAGCGGCTTAGTCATGCTGGCCATATGACCCAGAAAAACTGTCTGCAGACAAACGTCGGCTCCCTCGGCCAGTAAAGTGAGATGAGTGCCACAACCCCAGAATCGTTTGCAACTGGACTTAACTGTCAGGGGTCCTTTACCTTTTTTTAATGAAAGGAGTGGGTAGTTATACAATCCTCAAAAAACAGTGTAGTGAGAAATGCAAGGGAAGCTTTTGATGTTCCATAAAATGAACCTCCAATCCCACACTCCATCAAGATCAATCAAAATGTTACAGAACACTAAGCAAGCCTTGGATGTTCCTCCAGCGTTCCCTCTTTAGGCTTCATAGCTCCTGCAGAAAGTGCCACATATGACTCTCTGGCTGCCGGACTGCAGCTGGGGGGGGGGGCGTGTCCTTGGTACAAGGAGCTCCTGGCCCTCAGGGAAGCTGATTCCTGGTGAAGCTGAGAGAGGCAGCACCGTGTTGTAGATGTCTGCTTGGTACAAGGAAATCCTGGCTCTTGGGAATTGGGTTTGTTCCTTTGCTGACCAGGTTGCTGACCTGGAGAGACCAAGGGCTTCTCAGGACTCATTTCCTATTGCACATCACCTGCAACTTCAATTTAATATTCATTTTTGTGAGACAGGGTGTGTGAGCAGGCTACTAGTGAGAGACAGGGTGGGATTTGTGTTTAAGACCATTTGGCTGTTCAGTCTGTTGAATGTTCTGTTTGCATGAGGAGGAACTGTGGAGACCGCCAGTCCAAGAGCATTCCAGGGGAATGGGTGTGGAAGAGAATGAAGTATTGGACTGGTGGTTTGAAACAGGTCACACCCCAGAAGAAGAGGAAAGGAGTTGGGAAATAATGGGTGAGGAAGAACAGGAGCAAGGTAGCAGTGAACAGAGGCAGGAGTCATATGTGTTCGAATCTGTGCAGCAGCCAAGTGAAACACTGTCTCTGGAAAGTTTGTCTGAGCCCCCCTTCTCCCAGAACTAGACTTGCTCTGTGTGTCTCAGAACAGAAAGCCCAGAGGAGGTTGGCCCTTAGCAGCCACCGTAGGCAGCAGGAGGAGTCTGGTCGCTAGGAAGTGGTGGTGGAACAACACTCCAAGCAACGTTGGCTTGGGCGTAAGGGTGTTTCCCCCTGTGTCTTCTTGTGTGGAAAAATAAAAGAACAGAAATGCTCTTTCTCTTCTTTTTTTTAAATAATATTTATTATTTTTCCAAAAACACTAAAAAAAGAAGAAAAAAGAAAAGAAAAACAATACAATACAACACATCAAATTAACAAAACAAGACTAAGACAATAAAATAAATCAACCAATTTCATTATCCCATCTTTCATTCACTTATTTCCACGACCTCCTCACACCTCCCTTTTTGTATTCCACTTCTGTTAATTATTTCAGCAATTCCTTTCCATCTTCCTCTGTTTTCTATCCTATAATTATCTTAACTCATTCTAACCTTATTTTTTCCCCTTTAATACTCTATTAACCTTTCTGTACTTAATTCCTTATAATATTTCTACTAAAGACATATAACTTCATTTCAACATTTTTCTAACATTCATTAATTTTACAATATTTCTGTAGATAGTCTTTAAACTTTTTCCAGTCTTCTTCCACCAACTCCTCTCCCTGGTCTCGGATTCTGCCAGTCATTTCCGCCAGTTCCATGTAGTCCATCAACTTCATCTGCCATTCTTCCCGGGTGGGCAAATCTTGTGTCTTCCTGAAATGCTCTTTCTCTGCATCTCTGTTTTCCTGGGCAGGAACTGTCAACAGCACCCTGACATAGGGTGGCTGTAATTGGGGGGTTGGGGTTGGGGGCAGACACGCTGGGTGCCCGCCACATGAGTGTCATGAATGACATGTGTGTGATGTCACACGGCAGGAGGAGGCCCGACAGGGCCAATCACACCCTCTAAAAGGCACAGAGGGGCCTGCCGCAGCTGCAACGTGCTCCTCATGAAAATCCGGCAGCATTTTAGTGGGAATTTCTTCTACTTATATACTTATTTGCATGCAATTTTACAAAGCGATTTCTCCTAAAATGATGCATTTTCATCAGGCTCCAACAGAATGAGTGGATGAGACCAATAGTGGATCCAGTGATCATTAAGGCGGTATCTGCACATGCTTTAGAGGGAAATGAAAGGCAGATGGGGCTCATCAACCTGGGAAGGCAACTCATCTAGTAGAAGAAAAACTCTGACCCTAAACCACCACCGCCTTGAGGGCATCTTTGGGAGAAGAAACGGCTAAGGAGTAAACCCTAAACAAATCCAGAGGTGAGTCCCTAAGATGGCTGGATGGTGCCTTGTACATCTCTTTCCAGCAATTCCTTCAACCATATTTCTGTAAACATATTGCTCTGCTTTCCTTTGGACCACACTGGTTGGGCAAAAAGGGGGGTCTTGTCATCTGGGCAGCCCAGGACCGCCATATACACTGCCCAGGCTTGAACCCTCAGGGCTGCTTATGTACGCCTTTGTCTCTTGAGATAGATGGATGCCAACAAACAACATGAACTACATTTACTATTATGTGCATTTTTATGCACAATTTACCCCTGGATATTTACTTGCTTGCAAGTTGCTTTCCCTGACAAATCATCTCTCTTTCTTTTTCTTTTTCTTTTTCTTTTTCTCTTTCTCTTTTTCTATACTGCAGATTATGTGGCTTCTCAAGAGCACCCATGGCAAAAGGAAAGAGCAAAATAAGAAGGGCATTCTGGTTCTCCTTTTCCCACCCTCCTCCTGCCTTGGCTTTCGAGGAACCTTTCCTGACCCAAACCCGGGTGAAGTGAAACTGCTTTGTTATGGTGGTGTCTTTGATTTCCTCTGGGGATATATTTAGTCACATGCATTGCAGGGGGTTGGGCCAGAAGACCCTTGGGGTCTCTTCCAACTCCACAATTCTATGATTCAGAATTGTGCTTGGATCTTCTTGTGCTCGGATGTTCCTTGTTGAATTCTCACGATGGGCATCTGGCTGGCCATGGTGTGAGCAGGATGCTGGACTAGATGGGCCACTGACCAGATCCATCAGGCTCTTCTCATGTTCTTCGTGAAGCTGCCTTGTGCCCTTGGTCTTCTTCAAAGCAAAATGTGCCTGCTTCTCAGACGCAACCTGGGCAAAAGGGAAGAGAAAACTGAAAAGGACCTACCCGGTTCTCCTTTTCCGACTCTTCTCCTTCCTTGGCTTTTGAGGACCATTGTCTGGTTCTGCAGGGCCAGGAACCAAAGCCGCTTCAAGAGAAACTGCTTTGTCATGGTGGCGTCTTAGATTTCCTCTGGGGATATATTTAGTCACATGACACAAACCATGGTAGGGGCAGAGGAGAGGGGGAAGCCGGCTGTGACCACAGGAAAAGGGATCTTGCATCAGTCAGAAGTTCTCGGTGGCTGTTCTGCTCTCAAGCAGTGCTTGAAATAGTAATCCCTTGAGACTTCCCCTTCTGGGCTGAGAGATCCATTCTGTGTCCCATGATGGCCCTCTTGCCTAGGCCTAGCTCAGCTGGACAGCATAGCCACTGATCGGAGCCCCTCCTCCTGCTCTTCTCCCATCTGCCCCAGGCAAATTGGGTTTGGGACGCAGGCAAGTGCCATTCAAGGTAAACAAGTGTAAAGTAATGCATGTTGGAGCAAAAAACCCCAAATTTATTCCACATTATGCTCATGGAGTGTGAACTGGAGGTGAAGGACTAGAAGGATCAATGACAACGTTGATCCAGAGCACAGCAGCTGTGGAAAAGGTAAAACCCATGCTAGGCATCACTGGCAAAGGAATTGAGAATAAAACTGCAGATAGCATAATGCCATTATACCGATATATGGTGTGACTACAGTTGGAATACTGTGAGTAGTTCTGGTCACCTCACCTAAAAAAGGATATTGTGGAATTGGAAAAAGTTGAGAAAAGGGCACCCAAAGTGATCAAGGGGGTGGAGGGGCTCCCCTATTTGCAGAGTTCTGGTCTTTTTAGTTTAGAGAAAAGGCGTGTAAGAGGCTGAACGATAGAAGCTTATAAACTGAAGCAGGGCATAGAGAGAGTGGATAGAGGGAAACTGTCCTTCCTCTCTCATAAGACTAGAACTGGTTGACATCCAGTGATGTCAGAATCCAATGATGTTTTGCTGGAGGGAGTTGTGGCCCCCAACTTGTATGTCTTTAAAAGAGGATAAGACAAATTCATGGAGGATAAGGCTATGAATGACTACTAGCCATAGTGGTTTTCCTCTGCCTCCACAACCGGAGACAGCAATGCTTCTGAATACCAGTTGCTGGAAACCCAGGAGGGGAGAATGTTCTTGTGCTGAGGTCTTGTGGGTTTCCCATTGGGGCATCTAGTCTGCCACTGTCAGAACATGATGCTGGACCAGATGTACCATTGGTTTGCTCCAGCAGAGCTATTTTGAGGTTGTTGTTTTCTTCAATCAGTCACACCTCTTGTAACGAAAACAAGCACTCAGAAGGAAAATGCTTTATGAGAACTGAAGACTGGTGGGCTCAGATGGCCCACTGGCCTGATCCTGCTGGCTCTTCTTATGTTGCCATGTTCCTACATGAGTGCAACATCGAGTCTCCCCACTTGTGATTCCCAGCAACTCATATACTGCTTCTGACTGGGGAGGTGCAAAATAACCCTTGTGGCTAGTAGCTATAGCTAATCCTTGTTAAAGCCATTCAAGTTCGTGACCACCCTTACCTGTGGAGGAACAAGCTCCCTGGTTCAAGAATGCACTGTGTAAAAAAGCATTTTCTCTTGTCTGTCCTGACTCTTACAACATTCAGCTTCATTGGTTGCCTTTGTTGGGTTCCAGTTTTATTATGAGGGGGGAGAAGAACTATCATTCCACTTTGTCATAGAACCATAGAATTGTAGAGTGGGAAGGGATAGCCACTTCCGACTATCAGGAGGAGGTGGGTTTGCGGGCTTCACGCCTCCAACCCAAGCAGGGGGCTGGCCTCCAGCCCCGCGCGATCAGGGGAATTCTCAGACCGCGTCATCCCCTGAACAAGCCAATCGGCTGGCTCAGGGTGTGTGGCTTGCGCCATTTAAGGCGAACACGGCCACAGGATCTCCCTCTTTGACCAGCGCAGCTGTTCGTGTTTCCCACCCGCCTGCCCTTTAAGGTTTCCTTCTGACCTTGCTATGGACCTCGGTTGGTCGCCGTTAAGGGACCTGGTAGGTATTTTTTCCATTTGGCAAATTGGCACCAGCCGTTTGGTTTTTTGCCTACCTCGTAGCAAATCGTCACAACTTCTTTGGTCTTGGCGGTTAGGCATTGGTAAGGGTATTGTTATTTAGATGTGTTGGGGGGGAGGAGCGCCATCACCTCCCCCCAGATATTGAAGGGTGGTCTGTTAAAGGATCCCGGGGGGCATGGCCTCGTCTGAAGCCTATGGAGTCCAGGGCCTAAAGAGCGCCCCCGAACGGTGACCCCGGGGGAGTTCCTAGTTGACGTGCATCAGCAGGGCTCCCCCTGCTGGAGTTAACCCTTCCCGGTCTTCAAGCAATCAAGCTGAAGCCGGATAGTGGATAGGACCAATGCCTAAGCCAATACCGCTCTTACCTGTAACCAATAAAGTTGTGGCCAGTTTAAGCCCATTAACCTTATTCATTGGTGTCCTGTGTCTTTATTTTCCACCGGGGGGAGACGGGAACTCGCCACACAAACAGTGTCATCTACTTCAACCCTCTGCCATGCAGGAATCACAGCAAAGTAATAATTTTCATGCACAAACTGTTGTGGCTCTATGATCGTCCCTCACTTTTTCTTGAACTCAAAAGCCCCAAGTGATGCACCCTTTCCTTGGTCTCCTTCCTCTGTATTGTGGGATGTCCATCCCCAGTGAGGAACTACGTGTGTAGAAACTGCTCTCCTCATGAAAGGTTCTTCCTGTGAAATGTGCCTCAGCCTCCTTCAATTGCTGCCTCTTTTGATTGTGCCCAGCTTCCCCTTTCTTGTGAACCACAGATTGATTTGCCACCATGCTATCATCTCCTCAATTCTGGAAATGGAAAATCTGCATGTTCTTCCCCCTTCTGGTGACTTCAGCCAAAATCCTATATAAGAAGAATCCTGGAGGAGCTTTACAGTAGGTACCGAGCATCAGAGCAGCTGAGAAAGCCGTTTAGACAGTCCTCAAATCTTCATCGCTAGACAACATGAAGATTTCTCTGGTTGCCATCACTGCTCTCCTTGCCATGGCCTTGTTCTCCCTGGCCAAGGCAGCTCCAGGTATTCCTCTCTCCTTTCTCTCTGTTTGATCATCCTAGGAGAGCTGGGGCTCCCTCGGGGGTTTGTGCTGCCTGCTGCTGGGCCTTAATGGGTATGGAGATGCTTCAAAATGAATTGCATTGAGAAAGTCTGTTTAGAACAATGGTTATGCCCGAGAGAATGACATTTTGGTTTGGACTTAACAGAGCTTTTAGCACCTGTTCCTTGGCCTTGATAGTCCTGAAGTTGGGCACTCGAGGAAGGTGGAGAGCAGGGGCTGGTAAGAGGAGAAGGGTATGCCAGGGGACCAGATAGATAGTCCTGAGGGGCCACATTCAGACCCCAGGCCTGATGTTCCCCGCTCCTGCTTTCAAATGTAAGGGCTATGGATAGATATGGGGGGAGGGTAAACCTCAGCTCAAGCAGACATTCATGTCTCTGGTGATAGTTGCTTATTTTTTATTATTTTTATTTTTAATAATAATTTTTTATTAATTTTCCAATGGTTACCCAATATTACTACAGGTTTGTCAATAATACAGATTCCAATTAATATCAAAACAATTCCAATTAATTCCAAATTTATACTATATTATCAAAGTGCGAGTGAAGCCTGTTCCTCCCTTCCCTGGGAGGAATTTCCAAGAATGATTTACCCTCTACCATTCTTGTTTTTCTTCACCTTCGATGCCCACAATGTTGTGGGGGGCTCCCTCCATTAAGGCAGATAGGAACTGGAAACCCGCCACTTGTTTTTTTTTAATGAATTTTGTAAATAAATGACAATATCTGTTTTTTCCACCTCTTATAGATGCGCCGGACACATCTCCCTGCTGCAATAAGTATCCCAAGAGCATATTCCCAAACAATATTGTGAAGAGTTATTTCCGCACCAGCAGCATATGTAATCTGCCTTCTATTGTGTAAGTTTCGGGTTCTGGGCAAAAGCCAAGGGTCCAGTGGGCTAATATTGTCCAAACAGTGGTGGATGGATGAAGGTGATGAAGAAAGGTTCAAGCATTTGCGAGCCAGTTGAGTGTGAGGGAGAATATGGTAGAGGAGGCAACAGAGAGATGGAGAAAATTATGAGAAGGTCAGGCTGAAATGGATAAATTGTCACCTGGCAGCAGAGATTGGCTACAACTCCCCGTTAGTTGTGGAGAAATCTGTCAATTTCTCTCAGTTTTGCATTTATTTATAATTTTTTTAGCCTGAGTGGAAACTTGTAGACATTCTGGAACATGTTTTCCTCAGTCTTTGCATTTTTGCAAGGAATTCTCCCCTAATAAATTGCATTATTACCGTATTTTTCGCTCTATAAGACGCACCAGACCACAAGACACACCTAGTTTTTGGAGGAGGAAAACAAGAAAAAAAATATTTTGAATCTCAGAAGCCAGAACAGCAAGAGGGATCGTTAAGCAGTGAAAGCAGCAATCCCTCTTGCTGTTCTGGCTTCTGGGATAGCTGTGCAGCCTGCATTCGCTCCATAACACACACACACACATTTCCCCTTACTTTTAAGGAGGGAAAAAGTGAGTCTTATAGAGCAATAAATATGGTATATGTTATTCTCTCTCTCTTGTGTGTGTATAATATGCATTGCAATTTCATACTGCAAAATTCAGGGAAGTGCAAATCATGAAGACAAATTACATTATGGTGAGCGTATTGGTTTGGGAAGTGGGGATTTGAGTATCCACTTTAAAAGTATGAGAAGAACCAGTTTCTGCCCCATCTCTACACCCTACCGCAGGCACGGGGTCTCTATTAAGGCTGGGCCTGATGTAGGAGATGAAATGCCCACCTGTTTCTCCCGACCCCAAAGAAGTGAGGCCGTCAGGCTAATGGAGAATTAAAAGGACACATTCAGTGCCACATGGTGAATGTCTGTTTCTTTTCATGACAGGTTTATATTCAACAATGGACTATCAAGCTGCGCTGACCCAAATGCCCAGTGGGTCAAGGATCTTATGAAATATCTTGACAACAAGAACAAACCCACCAGCTGAACCTCCACCACTCCACCTGGTACCAGTTGCAGAGCCCTGGCTAGGAAAAGGCACGGCTGAGCCTCAGCGGGCCCTGACATTGACAAGCACTCCTTTATTAGCTACATCATCTTACGTGATAAACTTTACACTGTTTCAGGGAGTTCTGTTCCTGAAAACAACCATATGTTTCTAAGCAACTTTGCAAAACTGCCATGTCGATCTCAAGCCTGTCACTACATGCCCCTATTTATATGTGTTAATTTATACATTTTAATTTATATATTTTAAATGTATAATTTATATATTTAAAAAACATGTTTTGTTCAAACTCTTGGCTTGAGTTTGATGGCAGAGATATTGAGAAGGTGCAACTTCAGCATATCTGAATTCCTACTGGCTTCCAATAAATAAAGATAAAATAATATGCTTTTTATCTCAGCCTCTTCCTTTACCTCTATCGTCCTCTTGGAATCCCAAAGTTCAAGAAGGTTGGACCAGAAGAACGAGGAAGGGAAGGGGAGGTCCATGCTGAATGGGGAGGGAGGTTCAAGTTCATGGTTTAACCAAAATGTTTTCAGCATGACATTCAGTGCCAGCTGTAGCCCAAATTGCCAGGAATGGTGACAATAATCCATGGGCAATTCTGAGGAGAAGGGAGCAGAAAGAAAATAACTATATTATTTTAAAGATTTTTACGCAGATGGATAACCACTCACCATTAATGAGATGCAAATTCACTTTGGAAATGTTCAGATATCAAGACTATTAGGACAATTAAGGTCCTTTCTGTGATGGGATGATGAGCTGCTTGTGCGTAAAATCGTATCCCCTCAGAGTTTGTTCAAGTCCACAAACCTCTGTCTGTGACGGAGCCCCTCAGACATGGCTCCTCTAGTCACTAGCAGATTCCGACAGTGGTTGCTTTCGGAATCGCTTCCAACATAAAAGCTCCTTAACGGAAACACGTCTTCTGGACTCTGCG